GGGGTGAGGGGGGTGAGGGGGGGGGAGTGAGAGAGAGAGCTTTGATTTAGATGAAGACTGTCAAACTATAAGTTACTTGAGACACAAGCAAGAATACTCAGTAGAGCGTATACCTGCGCCAAGGACCAACAGTCCACTTAAATTCAATCAAGCTTCACCAGATTTCTCACACTCAGATATCAGTGCCCCAAATAAGCCTAATTTCTGTTTTCATCAAGATCCATCAAATGATTCACTATGATTCAGAAAATTCCTTTATCCCCTTTCTGTACAGATCTGCACAAGAATTTTGTCTTTTTTTTTTTTTCCATTGGCCCATGTCCCATCCTTTCATCCAGTTTTGTGGAAATTCATCCAGTAGTTTTTGTGAAATCCTGCTGACAGAAAAACAAACAAACAAACCAACAGACAGAGGTGAAATCATGACCTCTTTGGTGGAGGTTACATACATGTTAATAAAATCATTTTTAAGTATGAATTGACTCAATTGAAATAGGACTGCACCTCATGCTCTCTGTTGTGATTGGCTGTTGGTTTTAACAACAATATGAACACACAGTGAGGCCACAGTGAGGCTCTCTTTGGCTGCTTCCAGCTAAAAAAGACAATGTTCATAGTGCATTTTTCTTTGTTTTGTTTGAGGACCCAACTGATGACAAACCAACCAGCTCCAGCTCACTGTTAACCAATGGACCACTTCATTACACTAAGAATATATCCACATATTTATATATATTATGTTTAAAATTGCTCCATTCATAATCCATTATAATCTCTTTCTGGAATAACACACCTGAAAACGAATGACCATTCACGCACACATGTAAACAAGAAGCTGAACGTCTACAATGACGCAGGACATTCGTCATTAGTCAAAGCTGATGCTGTTTTGTCTTCAGGAAAAGGGTCATGTGACAGGAGCGTGACGAATCAGAGAAGGATATGTTGTGACTGTTCATCAGGAAGTAAGCATGGCCTTTTTTTGAGGGGCTCAAAACCTCCTGAGTAACATGAGGACCAGGCGTAAACGTAGTGAAAGAGATGCCGTTCAAAACTAAAGCTTATTATCGTCAGCAGCCATCCACAGCCCCACTCCACTAAATGGCCTCATCAAATTTGCATCATCAACACAGCTGGAAGGGAGAAGTGATGATTCTCAGTTTGAGCCACACTGGCTATTTTTTCCAATCCATCTTTCTCTGGCGCACTTCTGAAGGGTCTCGCTGGTCCCACTCTGTCTCAATTATCTGGCTATACCCAGCTGAGATACAATAATCCAAACTCTCATTCCCTGCAATTTCCACACTTGTGTCTGCACACTCACTTGCCTTATGTTCACAATCGCTTATGAACGTGCTTTTTCCTCTGCTGCGGGGATCAGAGACCCAGGAGTGCACTCTGCAGGCTGTAGAGGATGGATTTACCCATGATAGACCTGATACACTTCAAGGTACTGGAGTTTATTATGACAACTTTATCTAGAATATGATGAGTTTTGCAATATTTGTCAAGAAATATGATGATTAGAATGAATTTACTTGATAAAAACCAAACCAGAAACAATAACTACACAACTACAGCAGGGTTTCCGTGGTCTGAACTTCTCCTGTGGTGTCATCCAGGTGTCCTTGAACCCCCAAATTCAAATTTGGTTTGCTGACATTTAGGCTAAAAACAAGGTGTAAATGACGATATTTGGAGTCTAATTTGAATGTCGGGGATTACAAACACTCGGATGACACCACAGTGGACGCATGTTTTTGTCTGTTTTTTGTTTTACATTCGAAGGAGTCACAAGTTACTTAAATGGTTTTGGATTTGGCTACAACGCTTTACCACTGAAACTCCAAACGTTTCATGGACTCAAACACTTCACCCACTCCTCCATCAGCATAGGGGTGATTAGATAATGAGTGAATTTTCATTTTTTGGTTAACTATCCCTTTAATGTCACTTTTATATCAGTCTCCTTAAATTCAACACTGACTGAACATTGTTTGAGTTTGTGGCTGTGATGACAAGTGGTTGAAGAAGTTACAGATGGAGGCAATGAGCCTTCGTTGACTCCTCGACAGCTACTTTGATAGCAGGGCTTTGACCGGTTGTGCTGGAAAAGGGGTGAAAATCGGCATTTCCACTCGGGTCTCATGTTTCCATCATAACTGGAGTCAACAAATACCCATGACTAGTTGGCCACTGCAACGTCGGGGGCTTAACAATTAACAGCTATACTGTTCTTCTTCTTGTTTATCATATAACAGAATGTATCCAACATATAAACCATCATGAAAGCATTTAGAAAGTATCATGTGCAACACAATTATCAGATTATTGGGGCTGCTTTCTCAAACTAATCAGGTAGAATCACAAGTGGCTGAAAATCAACAACATGTTTTTTCAGGCCCACATAGATTCTTCACATTTGGAAAATAATTAACAATATATCTACTAAAGTTTGAATTTTACAGAAGATATAGTTATAATACACACAAACATATATTACAGAAAGTTTTATAGTTAAACAGACCAAGAAAAAGTTAACATTAGATAAAAGTACATTTTAGCTATAATATAATTAATTAATTATTATAAATAAAACCTTTTATTTGCATTAGGCAAAATATCTTGTAAGTAGTCATATTCAAATTTGTTGATCATTTTTGCTGGAAGTAGTAGGAAACCACAGTCCACACTGGGACTTATACGTTTCTAAAGGATGAGGCTGGTGACCAGACAACAAGCAGCAAATGACAACGAGCTTTGGCCGTGACACACATTTCTCCTGACAGTCTCCAATTCTTTTCTGTTTCACAACAAGCACCATGCTGATGCTCTTCTATTTTAAAAGTCCCAGAGTGCAAGGCCAAGCCTAAAGGTAGCTGTCAACATGATGAAAACATCTTACTCTATCAAATCATAAAACACACATCAATGCCATCTCAATACAACACATGGCTGAAGTAAATTTCGGACATAGCACTCGTGGCAGTCCCAGTATTATGTTTATGGTAGATGCGATCAGGCTTTAAAAATCCTGTGTGCTAGTTTGAAAAGCAAGAATCAAAGGTTTTAGAAGTGTGTTTTAGAAATGACATAACAACTGGGCTTGTAAAAACGTTTCATAACTAACAATTGGAAAATAAACACTGAGTTACCAGTTTATTACAAACAATATGTATGATCTCAAGCAAACAAAGCCCTGTGATACATCCCATCTTTGACACTTGAATGGTGACAGAAAGGAAGTTGTAGAGGTTGCAGTTAGAGCTGTTGCTCTGCGGGACTGCACATTAAACTGTAGATTTAGATTCAGTCCAAATGTTAATACAAACACCTAATATAGTCTAAAAAACAACTAGAACAATGATCACCTGGACCACTTGTGTCATTAATACATAAAACGAGTTCCCTTTGGGATTTTCTTTGTCATTTGTTTTACTGAAGAGAGCACACCCACAGACATCCTCCCCACTTGAATGATTAGGTTTTCTTAAATCATTGCTAACAACTCCACAGTTCATGTGTAACAGCTCTGTTCTTGTTCCTTTGTCTTTTTGTTCAGTTTCCACTACATGTGTCTTTCGTTTCACAGATAACTGACAACAACGAGGCTTTGTCGATGCACACAAAACATGCTTTGAGAGGACATAATGCTTGATTGTTGACTTTCTTTAGTGGCACATCAGACAATAGATGTGCTTCGGATTAATGTCCTGTTGCGTTTGTAGCCAGGAAGTGATCCAGAAGCAGGGAATCTGAACTTTGGTTATCACAACAAAAACCATCCACAAACTAGTTCAACAACAAAGATGCTCAAAGATAGTTCCCCCAAAAAGCAGGCATTAAAAAAGAACAGCCAGTGTGTGTGAGCATATGAGGGTTGAGTCAATTATCAAAGAAACTCAAACATAAGTCAATGAGAATATGTCTCACAATCCCATTAAACTACACTAAAGTCCGTCACCAGATTCTAACTCAGACATATTAATTCATTTGATTTCAAAAGTGTCTTACACTCCCCACACAGACCCTGATAAGCGCACAGGCAATGTTTCTGTGAACACTTGCTGCACTGACAACAACACACCTCGATCAGAGCAGCCAATAACACCTTATTTATGCATCTGAAAGTAAAAGGGCTTTCACACAACCATGTTAATAAGGTAAATAAAACATCTACACATGTCTATGGCCTGCACAGAGCTTTGTTCCACAGAGCTTTGTTCCACTTCTTTACTACAGTGCTACAATTCCAGGTGGGAAGCTCATGTTTCAAGCACTAGATGTGCACCTCACACACAACCCTCACTCAGAGGAGGGAAAAGAATCACATTCAAGATTGCAATAAGACCATTTTCCTTCTGCCTTCCATTCAGAAATAAACCCAAACAACGTTGAAACAAATAGATTAGTCGGTGAAAATGATTTTTGTGTGAAGATCGATCAATGCATACAAGCAGGAACAGAGAACGGGTGAGTGAACAGGTCCTACCTGATGCACTGAACTGACTGCTTCCAAGAGTGGTGGGCCTGTTTTTCCCTCTGCTTACAGGTGGAGAGAACATCTGAAGGGAATAACAGGGACATGTGTCTACAATTAGAGCAAAGACTCCACTGTGCCAATCAAAACTATCACTTATAATCATCCTGAAAGCAGCTCACGGTTTTAATAATCGGCCAATACTGATCAATGAGTCTGTGAAGGTCCTCACACCTAGAAGACCTCAGAGCTGGAATAAAAAAAGAAAGAGTGAAAAGCCATCATACCGCACTGAAATCCAGCAGGTCACTTAATTCCTTGTCTGTTCCAAGCGCGGCAATCCGCTGCTGAGGATTCATCCTGGCGATCTAGAAACCTGGAGGAGACACACAGTGCATCAGGTCACATCTTCGGGGACTATTTCGTGCCACGGAGGGGGACGTGTTGTGGCTGCAGGATAAAGAGCATCACTGTGGAGTAAAGTTGGCTGTGACGGAGCCTCGCGTAGAGACAGTGGCGGCGCTGCCTCACAGCCACCGATCAGACGGTGCACACGTTCATTTGCACTCATTCAGTTCTTTGCTGTGATTAAAAGGAGAAATCACTGTTGTTGAATTGCAGCTTGTTTACCTGCAGCCTCGCGGTAACAGCGCGCGTGTGTGTGTGTGTGCGCGCTGCCGGTGACAGGTTCTCACAAGTGACTGGATCAGTCTTCACGGACGATGTGCATGTCAGTGATTTGTGGGGCTGGTTTTCTGGACGTATCTGATGTGAGCGGAGGCGCCCCGCGTCACTTAGCGGAGCGGCTAACATTAGCTGCACACACTGGTCCGTCTGGATGGAAAACAGCTAGCGGTGTTAGTCCGCGTGGACATTAGTGGAGAGCAGACCGTGACACAAATCACTCCCCCCCCCCCGATGAGTAACACACACAAACTAACAGTGCACATGACAACAGCAGTCCCCAGCTCCACCACACAAACCCAATTAGGCTCTTTCTCAACTCCCAACTTCTCCCACAGGTCCGACAGCTTCGCACCAACTCCTGCAACATATTTTACCTTTTTGTCCGCTTGAAATCCCGACTAGGGTGATCTGGTGACGGCTCGCTCTGCTGCGACACGCCTCGAAACTGCGGAACGCGGGTTTAAACGCCAGCACCTGTGAAAAGCTCCGCTATATGTCTCAGTTACGAGTTTCCCTTAGGCAGACATTTTTCCTTTTGCGAAAGCCTCAGCACCACGATGACATTGGTTATTGTATCCCTCCGCCGAGCGCAGTGACATGCTGGTCCTGCACAGCGGGGGATGCTGCGGGAGTCAGCGCGCGCTCACGTTCACTGACACACCGACCATCAGCTTCTCTCTGCTGTCGTGAGGCGGAAACTCAGCTTCATTCAAATGCGTGAATAATGAACGTGTAAACAACTCAACTGTCAATATTATTTAGTACAGCGACATAAACTCACCATCATCCACACAGCATCCAGTTTACTTAGGGAAATCCATGCCTGAAAGAATGCAACACAGTGTATTGATTTTATAATAATGATAATAAAGTACTTACAGTTTCAAGGTGTTTAAAATGAAGTAAGACAACACATAGATACAATGGCAAAATGAGAAAAAACAAACAGGGGGAAAGGCTTCCTGTACTCTTTGGAGCTTCTTCCATCAGTGTAAATAGAATCATTCAAATAAACAAACGACTCAGAAAAACCCCCAGAAAGGCTTCCTGTACTATCATGGGTTAAATCAGATCACTTTTCCTAAGTCATATTTTACGTAACGTCCTGACGCCCCTCGATCACTGCATGTGAGTGGATCTGATGATATGATTAACGGTACAATTGTAAAGAAATCACAGTATTTACCAAAACTGACATCAACCTGGGTGGAACCTGTATCACTAGCTACTTTCACCATTTCTTGACCAAGATAACTTTTTTCAAAATCTATTTTGTAAACCTTTTCTTCCATTGTCATTATACTCACATAATGTATAGTCTGTCATAAACTCAATTTACCCAAAAAAGTATTATTCCAGCACAGAAAATATGGTGGCACTAAATACATTGATAGAAACTAAGAGAGGTCAGGTTACATACACACTGCAAAGGACAAGGACCAAAGTCTTATAACTCAGTCTACATGCATTCAGTCTCTTACATCCATCCATCACTGCGTGTCCTCCAGAATAAGTTTCTTCCATGCAATTAAACATGTATGCTTTTATAGCCGGCACTTTTTTCACACAGTCATTCATTTGTATTCCATAGACTAAAGCAATTCTGCCTTTTCAATTCGGACACCATTCCATAAGACAACACATACACGTTATAGACATGAAGCCTCCTCATAAAGGTCATCAAATATTTGAATTTTTACATTCAAGAGTTGAACTGGAAACAATGACTTATGTCTTAAAGGCCCCAAGCCAGCACTTTTTAATACACTGCAATGTATTGCACTACTGACCTCTATATAGTACTACACACTACAGATAAATAGATAGATGATCGATCGATGATAGAAAGATATAGATAGATAGAATTAAGTGTCTGTGGGATTTTACATGTAAAAAACAGAAAGTCCTCTTCACAGTCCCAGTTCACAGGTGCAGCCAGCGATTCCACTCCACTTTTGAAAAGTTTAAATTCAATGAATATATCTTCATGACCCACTACCTCGAAGTTCTCGGTGTGGATTGAAAAAACTGTGGTTTTAACTCGAGATGATCGATCAAATATCAGTGAATCTGCTCGTTACTGCCAATCAACAACAGGAGGCGCCCGTGTGCAGGCACAGGACCACGCGCAGGGGGAGAATAAGAAAAAGCAGGATATGGAGCAAACTTAGTAAACGTAGCAGTGATAATGCTCTAAACTATGACAGCGTGAGCTCTGTGCATGATGGCCTGCAGACAAAGGAGCACTTTAGAAGATAAACGGAAGAAGAAGTTACGTGACAAGGCGAGAGATAAGACTCGCATTAACATCAGCGAAGCTTTCCGGCGTTGGAAAGACCTCCGAGGGGCAACGGGCTTGGACACGGACGCGGAGTTCGCACATTATCTGCTCGAAAGGTGGGTCACACTGGTTCAGCTGTGTGTGGACTGGGCTGACTGTGAGGACACGAGATGTCCACTGTCCACGCTGCTCACTGCTCCTCCTCTGCAGAGAGTCGGGTCAGGGCTGCTTCCCGATGCTCCTCTACTCTGGGCTTTACGGTACGGGTGCTTGGAGCGGTCAAAAAGGAACAAATGATCCTTATTTCAACAATAAGTCGTTATTTGATGTAACGCGTTTAAAACAACATCGTGTTTCACATTGAATGCAATCCAGCTTTAAGAATAACACGTTAATAATAATCTTTATTCATACAGCACTTTACAACCCAGTTACAAGGTGAAACAATGGGAAACAGTTAAGAAGCAAGAAACTATTTAAAGAGAGCACACAGCAAAGAGCAGACATTAAAAAAAAAAGTTATACCTGAGAAAATAGTAAAAAGAAGATTATATTATAAAATAATGAAAGTATCCAGTAAGTAATTAGGAGAAAGCACACTGACATACTATGAGGAGTTTTTAACTGGTTATGAAACCATCTCATTTTAATACTGCTGCCTCTTTAGATGGATGTACGTAGTTAGAGGTACTCTATTGATCCCAAATAGGGAAATTAATGAACTTAATGACCAATCACACAACAAAGGGGACAATCAGGGAGAAGATGTGGCTTTTTTAATAAACTGTGAATGTACTGCGGTTAAGGAGGAACGATTTTCACAAATCCAGGATTCACCTCACACATGAATGCCTCCTCGTGGTTAGACTACGACTCTTTTTATGGAAAAATGTGCTTTGGCATAGTTTTACATTTCTTTAAACATTTTTTTATTAGTCAATAGAAATGTTTAAACTTCAAAATAATAACCAAAAAGCCACACAGGAGGAAATTCAAGGATCATCTAAATCAGTTTTTCTAATATACTGAAGCATGAATCCATGGGAGGAACCTTTACCCTCTATTTTTAATTGCAGACTGCCACCTGTTGGACAAGCACAGATGTTTTTACCAAATGAAAGTACCCAGATAAACAGAAACATGGTTTACACATTGTTTATTTTCCAGTACTTCACTGGAATTGGAAATAAATGAATAAGTAAAAACACCCAAAATTATTGGTTGCAGATTGGCAGAACTATATAGTCATTTCAGGAATAAGTAGGCCATGCAGGTAATTGCTATTCATGAAATGTTTAATGAAATAACATCCAGGCTGTGAGTTATTTTAAACTCTTACTTTTTTAAACACAAATAGGTTTTAAACAAGAACAGGGATTTGTGAATCCATGTATCTCAGTTTTTTCATCAAAGGGTATAAACATTTTAATCATTGTTACTATTGATAATATCTATTCTTTTACAGTTATGAAAAAACACTATCAAGCCTTGGACATAAATCTGCCCCTAAAAGGTAATAAGTCATAACTTTGCCTTGTTTTTATCACTTGCACTGACTAAACATGACCTTTTACATTGTTTTGGCCATATATATATATATATATACACTCACACATTCCCTCTAGTATGTTTCAACTAAGGCCTGAGCCTCCTGACTACGACAGATAACTTAATAATTCATAAAACATATATTTGCCTTTACTTAATCTAGGTCAGATGACATCATGAGCTACTCAGCCAGAATATAACCAAGAACATGGCAGTTACTTTGGGTCGATATAAACAGAATCAGTTTGTATTGCTCTTGAGTTCCTCTGTGACTCTGTGTCAATGAATGTCGACCTTCTGTAACAACTTTTGCTTCATCAGAAGAAGATGTGTGTGACATCATGTGTGTAAAGAGGTAAGCACCAGCAAGATGGTGTCACACATATGGAGAGAGGTGGACAGGCTCCAGGTCAGATTAACCCAATGTACATTTCAGTAGGTACATATGTCTGTCAGTGCTGCAGTGTCCCCACTGTAATGTCATTTTCCGTGTTGTAGAGATGGAGGTCACCATTTACGAGGATGTAAATTCGTGCTTGTGTGATTCATTTGATTTAATCTTTTTTTTTTTCTTTTTTTTTAATAGATCTGCCTTGGATAATGATATCGAAAACATCCTAGACACAACTGAACAGAGAGCAGCAGGAGCAGATGACGTCTTTCATTTTTTGGATAATGATATAGAAAACATCCCAGACACAACTGAACACAGCCCAGCAGGAGCGGATGACATCTGTGATGAGGACGTCTACGTGCCACTAATTCGTAATCAGAGGTACCTGAAAATGGGCCGCAAGACGAAAATAAAACTCTGATTGAAAAAGTGAAAACGACAAATTCATTAGTTACTGAACAGAAGCTTGGGTTTAACTTAACTGGTGACTGTTGTGAATGTGACTGGTTGTTTACCTCTGTATGTTGGCTCTGTGATATGCTGCCGACATGTCCAGGGTGTACCCCACCTCTTGTCCAGTGTCAGCTGGGAGTGGCTCAATCTCCCCTGTGGTATAGATAGTTCAATAGCTACACATCTGCTGTACACTCTTGTTAAAGTCACAGATGATGTGCTGCACCTCTTTTTCTTTATGCCTTCATTACTTATCTTACAATTGAGGATTACTTACACGCTTTTGAAGAAGTATAGTACCAGAATACTGACAACTGAACAGATATCCATGAAGATTTGTCTCTTTTATTGTGTCCCACGTTGTTTTCTGTTGCAGCTTCACAACATCTGAGCTGTTACTGGAATGTGAAGAAGAGGAGCTCGAGCCGTGCCAGAAACCAACATCACAACTTGACTCCAAAGATGAGGATGATGTCAGAGAGTCGAGTATGTGACAACGTTTTTCTTTTTACACATCTTACATCTGTGCTCCACTAAAACACAAATAACTGTTGAGTCAGAACATGTCATCATATGTGCAGTTTCAAATGGTTTGGTGAAATTGTACTTGGTTTGAAGAATATATTGCTATTTGAATGTTGTTTTAAACAGAGGAGTGTTCATTAAATGAGTTGAGTTGGACTACAATACTTACAAACATTATGCTAAAATGTTATTCTCCAAATATTAACTTGTATCCAATTTTGGTCTTTTTGTTTGTTGTTCCAGAAAATGAACAGTTAGATTGTAAGCTGAAGCCTTTGTCACCTCTTCAGAGAAATCAAGTGAATTCAACACCCAGGTTGAACAGAGAAACAGCAGAACCTGTTGTCTTCAACTACAAAGTAAAGATCTTATCAGAATTATTTATTTATTTGTAATTGTTTAGCTGGATAACTTATAGCTAGTTTCATTTATAAATTTTTTTTCACATGGATACTGGTCTTGTATTTTATATGGATTCTGTTTCTATTTCCCAGGGATTCACTGTGGTTCTCTCAAGACACTGGATCTTCCCATGAATTCATTTGAAATAGCACCAGGTAAAATTGAGGATCACTTTGAGGAGACTTTTTCTTCATTATTTTCAGTTATTAATTTCAATGGGGCCTATATTTTTGGGGGGGTGATTTTGATTAATTTTTGTTATTGTTTATTATCATCATTAGCATTGTTTTACATATGAGTGTGTCTGTTTTCCAGATGATCATCAGCAGCTTTTCCAGAAAGTGACTTCAGCCACAGAAACAGCTTGGTCCTAAAGCAACAAGTCTGATTCTTTATCCAGAGTCCACGATGCTGCAAAATCTATAAAGACATCTAACCAGCTGCAGACGGACCAGTCCAGCTCCCAGACTCCCTCTCTATCCCATCCTCTGCCTTGCTTCATCGCATTGAACTTGAATCAACGGTTATGTCACACACATAAACATCTTGATCGAGACACAGAATGTTAAGTTATCTGCACATTGATTTGATGTTCAGACCATTGTGAGTCTGTTGGCTCTGACATCCTGTCTAGAGTCTGTGTAGCCCTGCACACAGCGTCTGTTTCAACAACTAACAACCTGTCAGTCACAGGTTTATTGTAACGTTTTGCAAAAAAAAAAAAAAAAAAGTCAAATTCAAATGCATGTTATTAGTTCATAGTTTCTCTGTAATGCACTAATGTTTACAGGGATTGAGAAGTGATGAATCTGATACAAAGATAAATGTCTTGCTGTGAAGGAGCACATCAGTGTTTAGTTTGCTCACCATGGCTGTTTTATATAAGTTGGTCTACATCTGTTTTTCCTAAACTCTTATGCCCCTCTTTAGAAGCCTCCAGTCCCATGCAAACTGTTTGCACTTAAATCAAGCAGCCATATCAAACAGTCATTTAGATAAGAATGTATAAAATGGTATCACATGAAAATACTACCTCAAATGTGAACTTGCGTAAAGGCAGTGAGAGAGTAGTTTTATCCCACCTCTGCCAGCGCACCTTCACCCTGCAACTATTTCCCTCTATTTTTGCTTTTCGAGTTTTATTCTTTGATTTACAGCCAGACTCCAGGCTCTTCATGATCTCCAGGGACTTCAGCTTGAAAAGACTCCCCATCTTTATTCAGTTGAGGATTACCCACCAGGGAGGACATTACCCTGGACCTGCTGTGTACCATAAAGAGGCAGATTCCACCTCACACATGAACTTTTAAAGGGAACATTTTTTTCTGTTTACTGGGATTACTGTGAAAGAGTAGTTTATTTAAAAAAAATTTACATATTAGCTTTACATTGTGTTGTGCTATTGTAAGGAAACACTCTCCCTGTGGGTATGATTAAAGGTTTTACTGATTCTGATTCAAAAGTTGTTTCACAGTGAACATTTCATGTATTTTACTTTTTGGAAATAAACTTAATCAAATCATACATCAGATTTTACGTTTACTCTTTATTCACATTTTATTGCCCTTTTAATAAGTCATTAAACCTGAACAGACAGTGCTTAACAACATGAGGCATCTGCAGGGTTCATCGAGTTCAATTTAAGTCTTTAGAATGGAAGTATGATAAAAGAGAAAAGAAAGGAAGGGAGAGGAGAAAAACAAAGGAAAAGGGGAGAAGAGAGGACAAGAAAAGAAAAGAAAGGAAAAGAAACAAAAAGAGATGAGGGGAGTGAAAAATAAATTAAATGAATGGAAAGGGGGAGAGGAAAGGAAAGGGAACAAAAAGAGATGAGAGGAGAGGAGGGAGAGAAAAGGAAAGGAAACAAAAGGAGAGGAGAGGACAGGAGAAGAAAGGAATGGAAAAAGAGAGGAGACTATGAACAGAGATGTGGCCGCAGAAGTGCGGCGCACTCTCCAGTAGGCAGGTGGCGGTAATGCGCCATAAACATATGCTGTCAACCGCCAGTAGATACAAAGGAAGAAGAAGCAGATGGAGAAGGAGAAGAAGAAGAAGACGGATGCAGCAAGGGTCTGTGTTATTGGTGCGAGCGGAGTGTTTCCGCCGCCTCGGGCCATCAGCACGACTTCTCCCCCTCTCCCTGTGTGAAATAGTCCCCTACTGTGTGAACCCTGTCGTCCTGTGGACAAGGACTTAACCGAAGTTTGGTTGTCTCGACCCGGCTGTGGAGCTGAGTGTGAGAGGGAGGCAGCCGGAGCTCCCACAGTCTTTGTCCCAGCATCCCCCGCTCAGGTAATACCGTCATTAGCCTGGCTAATGTCAAGGCGCGGTGATCGATAAGCGATACCCCTGGCACCGTGACACCTCGCGTCAGAGATAAACAGACACATCGAGGTGTTGAAACACTTCATCATTTGAAATCCCACCTCAAGACTGCGGCAGCTCAGCCATGAACGCTAAATGGTTAGCATTAGCTACCGCTGCTGTTGAGAGGGTCTGAGCAGCTAATAACAAAACAGCGCTGAGCTAACACATGCTAATGTTAGCCAGTAGAGGATCAGGGGAGCGTAGCTCGCAGCTTTCTCTTCATCAGTGACTGAATCACGAGTAGCTGCAGCGTTTAGTTGAACATGGAACAATATAAGCACACAAGCCAAAATTGGATCTTAAGTCAGACATCATGTTTACAACCTTTAGCAAAGTGTTCTTCGTGTAACAGCTCGGGCCCCAATTTATTCTGTCCTCCACATCTGCATCAGCAGTCTCCTATGTCAACCAATACGGTCACCTCCTTATAATAGGATTTAAAATAAGCTCTCCAGCAATAATACATATAATCCACGTTCAAGTTAGAAATAGCCACAATAAATACTGGGGCCCCAGTCACACATGTGTGTGCACGGTTGTAATGGTTTCACATGCACTAGCTGGTTGCTGCCAAAAGGAAACGTATCGTTCTGCAAATGTGGTCAAATGGTCACGTGTAACGTGGGGGTTTTTCATTTACAGCAGTGAACCCACAGATTATTATTATCACCAGTCTTTGCAACATGTTGAAGACGATTGTGTGTCTTTACAGTTCAGAAGTGTTCAGTGTATCAAAATATATAATGGTCTGTTGAAATCCCATTTTAAAGGTATTGATATTTAAATCAGCTTTTAGTTTTCAGCATATATCTCTTCATTGCTTTGCAATAGTGGTAGTTTTAAAGTGTATGTTTTTAAATTCTGCAGTTTCTTTAATCAAGTTGACTTATTGTGTTTTTCTGTTGCAGCTTCACAATGTCTGAACTTTTTATGGAGTGTGTGGAGGAGGAGCTGGAGCCATGGCAGAAACAAGCTACTGAAGTTCACATGGTCGAGGATGATGATGATGAACCCATCTTCGTCGGAGTGCTCTGTATGTCCTAGCACATTTTTTTATATATTAATGTGGAGAATGTTGAAGCCCCAAAGGCACAAATGATTCTTTATCATATAAGTGCAGCTAGGAAGCAACTTCTGCTGTTTAATATTTGTTGTAAATCTGTTAGATATTGAAAGTTTGTAAAAAAGTATTCTTATTTTTATTATTAATATTATTGGATTGAGTGTTTATTTTGGTCCATTTCCTTGTTATTACAGCTAATAACCAAAAGAGCAGTGACCCGCTGCCCCAACCTCCTCAGACGAACAGTGCAGGAATACAAGGAATCAAGCGTCCTGATCCTCAGCCTTCCATTAGCTCCTCACAAATACTGATGCCACTGAATATAGCTGGAAATACAGTGAATGCTGCAACACCCACTCTGACCACAGTCACGCCGCAACCTGTCATTGTTAATAACCAGGTATCATTCAATTAATATTCCAAATATTAAGTGCAACTTTCAGTTTACTCTAATTTTGTTTTCAATTTAGTGAACAGCTTTTCAGGTTAATTAATGTGCCTGATGCATGATGAAGTATGATTATGTTAAATTATGGATTTATACTTTTTCCAGGGCTTTATTGTCACTTCTCCACAATTAGTGAACAACCCTGGGTTTATTGCCTCTCTTGGTCGGCAGTACCCCCCTGGGACTTCATTTGCAATCGTAGCAGGTAAACCTGAGTGTAATAGTATAATATAAGTAAAGTTTAGCATATCGTTAATAGTTTTAATGTTGTCATGTCAAATTTGTCTTGAGAATTTATATTTTCTGTTTCTAGCTGGTCAGCAGCAGATTTTTCAGCAGGTCAGTCAAGGCACAATCATACCCAGTGCTGTCCACAGGCCTCAGGTGCAACAAATCAGCAACAACATTGTGACGTTGTCTAATGTCCAGAGCCCCACTGTGTACTCAACACAACCAAATCAACTGAAACCCAACCAGCCGATCTCCCAAACTCTGCAGGTCGTCTCTGGGCCAACAAAGGCCAATAGCTTCGACACAGGTACATTTGTTATTCCTCTTTTACATCAGTATTAGTGAGTATACACCCGGTGTCCTGTTTCCTTCACAGACAAAAGCCAGATGTTAGTGTTTTTTTGACCAGTGAAAAAGGGGCTTTTGATTTACTTAAACATTTTAAAAAAAAATTTAATCTCAGTGTGCTGGCAGTGATTCAAAGGTAAATGCTTTTTGATATTACACAGATCCAACACCAGTCAAACGTGGATTGATACTACAGCAAACTGACAGTGTCGAAAAAAGAGTAAAGCTCAATTCAGGTAAGTGACAGTCTAACAGACACTGTTCATCACTAAACAAACCCCAAGCCTAATCTGTGCTCCACTCATGTTTGTATCTTATTATTTGTAACATCTAACAGATTTATCAGGCAAACTGGAAAACGGCATCAATAAAAAGTGCTCCAAGTGTCAAGAAGAATTCACAATGCCAGAAGCTTTGAAATTCCACATGATGGTGAGTAAAACTTTTGTGGAAATTAATCCTTTATTGGAAAAAAATAATAGCATAAGAGATAAAACGTAAACATGTGCACCTAGCCATCAACACATTTTGAGGAAAATGCTCTCAACCTCTAAATGCCTCTTAATTTCAGAGTTGCTGTACAAAGGTTGAAAGTACAGCTCCATCAGCCGCGAACAAGCGCATCATGCTGGTCTCTGATTTCTATTACGGCCACTTTGAGGGAGATGGGCACAATATGGAGGGGCAGAGGACCAGCAGCACTTTCAAGTGCCAGAGCTGTTTGAAAATTCTCAAGAACAATATCAGGTATGGTTGTGTTTATTTTTTTTTGCCCTCAGTAAAATAACAGTTTAAAAATCAATTTCATCCATTGGTTGTGGTTTTCTTTGCTAAGTAAACCTGCTGACACACAGCAAGCACACAGTGCAGCTCTGAATGTTGTGTTTTGTAGAAACATTTTCATTCATTTGGAGTTGTGTGTCTGGCTACCTGATAAAGTACATCTAATATTAACTCCTTTCAACACCCTCTCAACACTCTCTCTCACTGCTGAGGGAAATATCTGTTTCTTTAGCTGCTAAATGCTTCCTTATGTTCACCAGCTTGTCTCTAACAGTGTCTGTCTTCAGGTCGGTGTCTCTGTGTTTTACACCTTAAAGCCTTTTCTCTTTAAACAGCTTCCTGCTGGGGCTGTAATTGTTTGCAGTTAGAGCAGTGAGAGTGAACCTAAACAAGAAGCTGCCACGGGGCAGCTAAACATTCAGGGTGAAAACCTGCAAGAAAGCTCCGTAAAGCCAAGATAAGCAACAGATTTCATCACACGTGATTCTTAATGAGCAACAAACCCGATCACATTGATTTCACACAGTCATTTGTCAAACCTTAGAACCAATATTTTAATAGCAGTTGACAGTTAATATGGATTAAAACCTACATGTGTTGTTTCTAAACACTACTACAAATGTAATATGTCATGCTAATTTAATTTAAATACATTTAAATTAAATGTAAATTTAAGGGAACAGTACGAGGTTTTCACACCAGAAAATCTGAGCATCCACGTCGCTTCTATTTCTTCTTCTTTTGTTTAATGCTTCTTGCAAGGTCAGAAAATTCTAACTATCCCCAAAGAAATGTTTTCATGCTGCTAATGATCATAAACATGGTTGTTTGATACAGACCAGGACCATCTCGTTTGCTCAGACTACATTTATTTTTACTGGTCTGGATCGAGGTATCTCTCACACTTGTTATTTCGGTTCAAACTAAACTGAGAGGCAGGTGTGAAAGCACCCTGAGTCTCAGATCAAAAATTATCCACATATTATCATTGATATTCTCTCAAATAGCAGATTGGGACTGGAAGCACAGACAGAAAAGATATCTGTCTGGTGCCAGTACACGAGCAGAGGGCGTCTTCTTTGTCTCTCTCTGCAGTTTTCTTCTCAGATGGATGACAGTATCAGAGCATTTTCCCTCTTGGGTTTAAAGATGAAAAATGACTGCTGGTTTAGTTGGTGGAAGAACTGCTCCCTTGATTAAATAACTTTGCTTCAGAACACATCGAAAAAAAGCTTCTGTAAGCTGCTTTTAATGGGGAAACACATTTGTACTGCAACTGCACCCTCACAGTCGAGGTCGTAGTTCGTCCACATAAAATTTCTATTAGGGGAGCTGAGGTAGCAGAATGTACAGGCTGAAAAATGGGCCGTGTCGTGGCAGGAAGCTGTGGAGCTGCTGGCTGCTGCCGCGGGGCACTACATCATTAGGCAGAACAAGGATCCGTGTGTAATTGGTGATATTATAACGGCCATTATACATGCTTAGAGAGTGAGGTGCAAGGAGATTACTTCATTTATCTTTAAACCCTTTGGGACCTGGACCATAACTGCTACAAAATACACAGTCCATTAATATTACATTTCCCCCACTGCTTGACACTTGTTTTGTTTTCATGTGTCAAATTTCCTGAATATGTAGATAATGAGAGAACAGATTTTTTTTTAGTCAACCTTGAGCCCAGTGTGTGCTGACAGAATTTGCCTGCAACACTGTTTTGTTTTACAGATAAAATGTGTCTGATACGAATACAAAAACAAATATAAGTGACCTTTTATCTACCTCAGATAATCTAAATTCCTCTTTGAATTTCTTTCATTAACGTTTATGTTAGATGGGATATATTTGATGGATGGATGATGGAGTTAAAAATGTTATAGTTTGAGAGACAAAAGGCCCATCGCGGGTTTGTCATCTTCATGTGTTTCGTCTCACCAGTCGTCCATAACCCAACAATGTGGAATTGGTTGTCATACCGTTTAAGACACACAAAAGATAATGCCAGCAAAAATGAAGACGGTATTAATCGATTATTAAATATATTTGCTTGTTAATGTTGTGAATCATGATGTTTGAAGACATATCCTCGAGATAATAATCAATCTTGCTTATCAAGTTTGATCAGATTTTCAGGTGATATCTTCCTATGTCTGTTTTATCCAACTAAAACAAACTAACTAAAAACTCACTTTACTGTGTTAACGAAAACCGTAAATGACCGTTTCCTGACAGAGACGAACGTTCAGTTATGTTTCAGTTCTTTGTAATAAAAGGTTGTGAGACGTTTCCTTGCTGTGTGTGTCCACGTTGCTGTGCAGGTTCATGAACCATATGAAACATCACCTGGAGCTGGAGAAGCAGAACAGTGAGAGCTGGGAAAGTCACACGACCTGCCAGCACTGCTACCGACAGTATATGACTCCGTTCCAGCTGCAGTGCCACATCGAGAGCGCTCACAGCTCGATGGAGTCCTCAAGTAAAACACATCGTGATCGTCACAGCTCCATGTACACACGTGAAGGTTTTGTTAGACACTCAGTGGTGATGTGCGAATTTCTTCTTTCCTTTTTCAGCCATTTGCAAAATATGTGAGCTGGCGTTTGAGTCTGAGCAGGTGCTCCTGGAACACATGAAGGATAACCACAAGCCCGGGGAAATGCCTTATGTCTGCCAGGTCTGCTGCTTGTTACTGAGAGGTGGTTTGGTTTAACGTTTCGAAGTAAACATTTTTCTGACTCTGAAATTCTCATTCATTTTTCCTCAGGTGTGCAATTACAGGTCCTCTTTCTTCTCCGATGTGGAGACACATTTCCGAACTGTCCACGAAAACACTAAAGACCTGCTCTGTCCCTTCTGTCTCCGAGTTCTCAAAACAAGTCATATGTACATGCAACACTACATGAAACATCAGGTATGATGCTGCTTTTCTTCCAGTCTGTGGTAAACCTGGTGACACTAAAAAATGTAACTCAGATTAAGGTCACAGAGCAATATGTAAATTCAACTGATGCTTTAAATTCTTAATTGGTCTAGTTTTAATTTATCTTTGATTTGCACTTTGAGCTCCATCTGCCAACACTTTACTGTAAACATAAAGCCGGCTTCTCTTCGCCTCCTCTACTCTTTACCTCCTCTACAGGAGCAGTAAATACAGTAGATCTGGAGCCATTCAAAATTAATTGCTTTTAGAAAATCAATTGCTTTCACGAGTCTGAAAGTCTAGAGCGGTTTTCAGACTCGTAAAAATTGCAGGACAATTGGCTGGAATCACTTTGCTTATTATTTCCATTTTTGTGTTCCTGTTTTTTCTTATTTCAGAAAAAAGGGATCCATCGCTGTGGAAAATGCAGACTGAATTTCCTCACCTACAAGGAGAAATTAGAGCACAGGACTCACTTCCACAAGACTTTCAGAAAACCTAAAGCCCTGGAGGGTCTTCCTCCGGGTACAAAGGTCTGACATAACAGCATCAACACATCATTTATTTCAGACCCTCGTGTTTTGATCGTTAACCTGATTATTACACATTTTCTGTAATTCAGTGTCATTACATCTTGTGTTTTCCTTCCAGGTGACCATTAGAGCCTCCGTTTCAGGAAAGACGCCTTTAGCGCCCACTTCCCCTGAGCGATCTGCCGTTACCGTCACTCCAGGATTAATGTGTAACAGTTCGCCAGCCAACCCTTCAGTCAGTGTATCCAAGTCTAAATCCAACACGCCCGGAGGTGCTAAAGGCAAAGTGGCTCAGGGCAAGAAAAAAGAGGCTCGAGCTTCCAAGCACAACCTGGCCCTCAGGAATCTCAGGTCAGAGACACTACAGCAGCAACTCATTTTATTCTTATGGAGCCCTTCACACATTTCTTCAATGACACAAACTGGAAATTTATGCAGCAACTAAAAATCAACAAAGCAACACATCTGTTATTAGAGGCATTTAGTTTGAAAGAAGTGAAGGATAATGTCAATGTGCTGGGAGAAGAATGTATTATATGAATTAATTAAATGTTTGTACTACATTTAACAATGTGGAGATAATTTAAATGAACAGGACTGTTTCTTGGGAAGCTCAATAAACTGGTCCCCCAAAAATAAATGATCCATAATCCTATGAGCTGATCATGTTTAAATCACTCAGGATCCTTCATCCACTAATATGGAGCCTCCCCTCCTGAGGATTTATGACAGAAAATTAATTGATGCTATTAAACCCTAGAAACACACAAAGCTGTCAATTGCTAATTCTTCAGACACACTTCATTAAACAGGCTGAATATAATTCGGTGTGTTGGAAACCGTGGGATTTCTTTATTTAAAAAGTGTGTAATGTTTGACTAATTTAGACAAAGCAATCAAAACTAATCTGCTGTTTCCAAGCAGATGAGCGAAGAATAATGAGGTGGTATATTACACTAGAAACCTCTATGAAGACACTCAATAAAGATAATTAATTGTGACACATCCTACCAAACATTTATTTATACACTGCAGTATCTTTAAAGCCTCTACAAGGAGTTTTTAGACATGACCTCTGTTTACCCAGAGTTTGTCTTTCACACATGCTCAACGCAGCTTTTTTCCCCACTCCTTTCAAAACAAATGCACATGCTGTCTGAACAGGTTCACAAGGTGACAGTGGAAACACGGCTGCTTCTGTCCACAGATGCACCAAAAATTAACAAGCTTTGAATGTCACTTGACCAATGAACGAGAAGTCTCAAATATTTAAAGTAAACCACAACTAACTGCTTTTTCCCCCTAATTTCCACTTTTCAGAATCAATGAGCGAAGTCAAACGTGCATCGAGTGCAATACACAAGTCGACGACTTCTTTTCTCATTTCCCAATGGTTTCCAATTGTGGTGCGTGTAAATATCGGACAAGTTGCAAAGTTTCCATTGGGAATCACATGATCAGGTGAGTAAAAAAATCCCATTGAATCTTTATTCTGTGTGATACTATTATGTCCTCGGTTTATTTGACAAATCTTTCCTTGCTCTCGCGTAGGTATCACAGCACCATCACCAAAAACAGATTTTTGAAGAGGGAAAGTAAGAAAAATTCATCCAAACTGAAGTACGTATGAATCACACCTTGGTTTTGTACAACAACAAAAATTGTGTTTTCTATTTGAAATTGAGCATGACAGAAGATGTTTTTGTTTTTTCCCAGATTAACTATGGTGTGTCTCAACTGCGACCTCCTCGTGGATGCTGCAGGCGGTGACCTGATGAGCAAACATTTAAATGATCGACCAAATCACATATGCAAAGTCATTCAGGAGAAAGGTAGGTTTCTTTTCCTCTAGTTCCACCTGAATCAGGTTCAGTATTGAGTGATGCAAGTGTCTTAAAGGTTGTGTCTTCTTTTTATCCCAGCAGACGTCAAAGCCAAAGATCGAGCGTAAGTAGAAACAGATACACACATCACATCTGATCAGCATATTATCTGAAATCTAAAACAAACACTTGACAATGTAGAAGAGCATAAAAAGAAATACATTCTTGAAGGGGCACAAAACGGATTTAGTGTCATCTTACAGATGTTTTTACAGGCTCCCTGTGACGACTAAATTGACACTGATGTGTAAATTGTTGGAGTCGCCCTTTTCTTTAATATTTGTTAACATATTGTGTGTTATCCTGAAATGTGCTTTTACTAACGCCGCCCTCCTCTTTATGCAGGCAACACGTCTTGGTGCAGCCAACAAAAGTTATGTACCTTGTGGCTACACCTTCTCCTCCGACACCAAAGGAAATAGAAATGAAACTAGAGGAAAAGGTCCCATCTATAAGTTTTAATGTTGCTGCTGTTGATCAACCAGAGCCAATTTTACCAACAGTTGATCAGGAAAAGGGCTCTGCGGCATTAAGTGTCAATGAAGATGCAAAGCCGACATCACTGCCGACCTCGTCTCCTTCGACATCAGATGGGGCTTTCGATGTCGGTGATGTGCCGGTGGGAGATGAGCCAGTGGGTGACTCAGAGAGCGCAGATATCAGAGAGCAGCTCCCTGTCTCAGAAGTTGAGCATGAGACTGGGGAACAGCAAACTAAATCTTAATGAAACACAATGATTAAGCAATGCACATAACAAACTAGAGTTATGACCTTGAAACAACTTGTTCATCAGCCACACCTCAGCTTTGTCATTTCTTTTACAAATATACATTAATATGGCTGCAGGTATTTACTACAACTACAGATTCCTACATTAGGAAAGTCAGTTTCAAAAATTGGATAAAGTATTAATCTCCTCTGTAAACCTTACTTTAAATATGTAAAGTATTTATAAATAAAAAACATCCAATCATCTTTTTTGCCCTTGAAACTGGTGAGAAAACATCATGATTCTGCATTTTTAGCTATTGTAGACCGCACAGTGTCAGCTGCTCATTTGACTTAAATAACATGTGTATTCCTTTAAAACTCTTATTATCCGTAAGGAAACTCCACCTGCTATAAGGTAGGTAGTATGTGGCTCTGCTCCTGATCCCCAGTGTCAGCTTTGATTTGTTTTATTGAGAAAGATGAAAAAACACATTTTGCATGTGACAAATCCACCAAGTTTCCCTGAAAAAAAACGTTCTCATTATATATTTAAAATATCTGTGTAGTTCCCTTAAACTACACATAAAACTACACACAATTAAATTGCATCTGATGTAGTCACAGCAGTTTGAGCCCAATTTCTTTCGCAGAAAGTTTTGAGCTGGTAACTAAATTTAAGTTTTAGATTTGTATTGTTCTTCAATTTTTGCCTTGTGTAGGTTTATTTTGAGATCTAATAAGAAAGCTGTTACATTTATATTGAATATGAGGTTGTATTATCAATAACGAAAATATACATTGTCACTGAAAATTGTTTCTTGTTAAGAGGAAATTCCTGATGTGTACCAGAAATATTTGTCTCCACTTTATCAGGAATATCTTAAGAATTCATGGGTGAACTTGAAAGAGAAACTTCTATGTTGACACACAGAAAGTAACTTGGAGGAATACAGCAGTCCATGTGTAGAAAATCTAAACATTCAATTTTACTCGATAAAGAGAATGTCAGTTTTGTGAGACTTAACAGAAAATAAAGCAACAAAAGTGGACGTGGGGTGGACAGTAGATTTTATTGTTTGACTTTTAAACTTTGTTCAGAGTGCCAGCCTGTAAAACAGATGTCTACACGTTTTCTTGGCTGCAGGTACATCGAGTTGTTTCATGTCCCAGCCTCCTTTAATTCTGCATTAAGTGTAAAAAAAGTTCCCTGTGGTGCTGGAAATATTTCATACAATGCGGTTTGTTTACTTTGTGTGGCTTAAAGTGTGAAGATATTCTTTATGATATTCTTTAGGTTTTTTTAAAACGGGTTTTCACTTGTGCATATAGTATCTTTAGAGCAAGTCTGTAAATGCATTATGTCTTTGAGGGCACTGTAAATGTAACCACCCCTCCCTGAGTCTCTTTTGAATACATTCCTCTAAATGTTTATCGTGTTCCCCTTAGGACACATTTTCTTCTGAGATCTATAAACCACTGGGTTTGCATCAGTGTTTTTCTGTTGTTTGTTTTGTAAATAAATCTTTAATACAAAGGGTTGGAGTGGTTTTTTCCAGAACTTTGTTCTCTGAAGCTGACCGGATCATTATTAGGTTCTTTAGGGCAGTTTATTGCAAAGATTGTGAAGAATGTTTGGTTCCAGCTGCAGAACATACGCCATTAATGTGTTCAGCAGCTGCAAGAGTCAAATATTCACATTAAATTCAGTAAACAAGATTTCATGGTGCTTGAGTTAAACTGACTTGTATATTAGTTTCAATGATGACACAGAATCACACTGTCGCAGCTTTTTCCCTGAATACTTCATTCAAACATCAAAATGTTCACCTCTCTCAAGTCCCCATTATAAAATTGTTTTAACACGTTCAGGTCCCAACAACATGAGTAACACATGGACACAAATATACACACAGTCTATATATATATAAACACACAATAACATTAACAACAACAATGTGCGCGCACTTTTTTGTTCGTGATAAGGAGAACTGTGTCCGTGTACAAATTACATTCAAACATAAAAATAACTACAATTCATTTGGATTCATTTTGGTTTTCCCGGATCTGACGTCATTGTCAACACTCATTTCTATTGGCTGATCGTGCTGTGACGCGCTGTTCCCAGGACAACCGCTGAACAACCACTCAGGTGAACTCATCGGCGGCTCCAGAGAACCAGCGAGCTGCGACCGTGGCAGCGGCAGCTCGCACTGGCACTTCCGGTGGCAGAACCTGCCACTGATTTGTAGAGGCAGCTGTCAGCTGTCTGTCTTTACTTGTTATTCTTCCAGTTCATGGATGGTTGAGACGCTGCACACAGTTATGATGCCATCCCTTCACATCTGTTTTATTCTGTTTTTATTATTGGCCGAATTCCCAAATAAAAGAACTTTAAAATATATTCAGCCTGAAGAGAATACATATAAATGGAGAGTGTGCCTGGTTCTACCGTTACTAAACACATTTCTCCATGTACTTTAGTACAGTTGTATTCAATAAATTGCTCCATGAGCAGTGGCATCTCTGCGCATCATTGCTCTCATGGATGTATTCACCACCTATGTAGAATTAAAGGCAGGTCGACTTTTCCTTTGGTTTATCACAGTTTATTCTGACCCAGTATCAGCTGCAGTGTGACTGATACTGGGAATACAGTCTGTGAGTTCTGATTGTAGCAGGATGAGCACTTTCCCTTTGCTCTACTCCTGGTGCGGTTCCGTTCCTTTAATTGAGCCTCAGTGTATATGAGAGGGAGGGACCCTTAGTGCTGCCCTTTCTCTGGCAGCTGGTGCACACTTCCTCTTCCGGGTGACCTGGTCTCAGGTGCTGCAGATGCTCTGCACTCCTCTCTCTCCTCCTCTCTCTCCTCCTCTCTCTCCTCCTCTCTCTCCTCCTCTCTCTCCTCCGCTCTCCTCCGCTGTTGCGCATTTACATCCGACAGCTCAGACGCTGGCCGTGTCCGAAGTGTCTGTTGGCTCCCTCTCTCCTCTTGGTGCCTCAACCACACAACGCTGACGGGGTATGTACATGTTTGTCCGGGCCCTCATCAGCTATAGCCATCCAGTTCCTAATTTAACTGTACTCACTTTACAGATAGGCCGAAGTCTCGGCACCGAGCCGACACGGGCCACGCCGCTCTGCACTCGGGACCGCTGCTGCTTTGTGGGGCTTCAACGTGCTGCCGTGTGGAGCCTGTGCTTTTGCTCCTATTGAGGAAGATTTAGGAAACTGTTTGTTTTATCCTATTTTCTTTGTTTTGAGTTTAGGTTAACATGATTATGTTTCTTTTCTTTTCATAAGCCAGTGTTAAAGTGTTTCTTTTTGTTTGGTGCCTTATCATTTAGATATATTTATTTGTACATGATTTTGGATTTAACGCTGGGTTTATGGCGAAGTTTTGATTAATTTAGTTCTGGTTGTTTATTGTTAGGGACCTTTTGGTCTTCTATTCACCCTCCTTGTTTCTTTTTCTTTTCTTTGGTTATTTTTCTGGGGTGTGTGCTCCAACCTGAGCCTGCAAGAAATACACTACTGGCAGCATTTCTTTTAGTGCACCCGTAGCACAGAGGAGGGGGATAGTGAGTGGGGTTCTCTTTGCTTAATAACTTTGGGTTTATTTTGATTTTTCTAATAGAGATTATTTGTGCGTTTGTATCATTTTGATATTTGTTATATTTTGAGTATCATGTTTGTATATGGTTTCATGCTCCACTAACTGTTCCTCCCTGTCTGCATACTTCCAGGTGCTGAGGGCCTCACTGGTGACCTGTATTTCGCTGATGGTGTCATATTGAGTGTAGTGTCCTTCCACTCCTTTTTGGCTTTTCCCTTGTGTGTTTGTGTGTGTGTGCTTAGTGTTTTACCTGTGGACTGTGGTGCTCCCACTTTAGTTAACGCCTGCACTCCCTCCTCACTCACCTTAACCATAGCGGCCCCAGCCCTGGAGGAAGCCCAGTGTTTCTGGTATTAACTAACAAGACTCCATTTTAGGGTAAATTCCCACTGCTCTTAATATTTATGAAATAAACTTTTGTACATTTGATTGGAAACACATCACCTGCCTTCGCAGTATATTGAACTTGTGTTGTCCTTGGTTTAGAATATTTTAGTTTATTGCTTTCCTTACACATTTACTTGTTCTTTTTTTCCCCAGGTTACACCCCGAGGTGGCGTTGTTGGTTTTGGTTATTCCTTGATTTGAGTTAAATTATAATTTAATTACTCCCTCACTCGCAACATAACCATAGACTAGAATCTACTCTCATGTCTCATGGGGTGGAGTCAGGATGAGGGGATGGTTGAGGTAGAGGAAAGATGAGATGAGATTAGGACAAGCGCCAGCATGGAAAGAGAAAACGGAAAATGTTCCTTCTCTCTGTCCTCCTTCTCCTTCTTCTTCATTTCTTTTCTCTCCCCCTTTGCCTTCTTCTTCAGTTGCTTCTTGTCCTTCTCCTGGAAGCTGGCCTCCTGTTCCAGGACTCTGCACCTCAGCTGCTCCTCACAGTTCTTCTGCAGAGCTTGGAATTTCACCTTCCATTGATTTTCCACTTTATGCTTCTCAATGTGCTGGAGCTGAAGATCTTTGACCTCCTTCTCCAACTCTTCCATCATGTTGGCCAAGTCGTATTTGACCTGACACAGCTGTGAGACAGAAGAGTCTAGGGTTTCATTCAGAGCAGCATTCTCAACAGTCTGCTGGCTCTTCAGAGCAGACTGCATTGCAGCTGCAGCAGCGTTTTGTGCTGCCTCCTTCCTCAGAGCAGTTATCTCTGCCGCCTGCCTCTTCATAGCTGCATTCTCAGCAGCAAGCTCCTTGTTCTCCCTCTTTGAGTCCAGCAGGGCTTGGCGGAGGGCCTGCAGCATTTTGGTAACGCTGCACCCATTATGTTGGGCAGTATCATAAGACTGCATTTGTTCAAATGACTGAAAGACACAAATATACACATAAAAGGTCAAAACACACCAGCTTCAGAAATATTCAAAGATACAGAGCTGAATGATTTTTTTTTTTGTCATTTACACACGTCTGCTTTTCAAGTAAAACTACAGTAAAGTAAGATGAAGAAAGAAATGACAATTGTATTTTGTGGATAAAACTAAAAACAATTTAACCTGAAGTCTTTCCTTCTAGGAACAAAACTTACTTTGTCTCCTGAGCAGTTGATCTTCTCCATGGTGGATGAACGCAGGTGATCCAGTGGAACAAAGTTCTTTAGAAGTATTTTTTCTGTGAAGCGCTGGTGTACTGACTGTCAATCTGTGACAGTTTAACGAAGTTGTTAGAGAGAAGATTCTCATGCAGCCGTCATCTACTAATGGTGGTAGAGTCTGATTCTGCTGAGAATTGTTTCTCCTTCATAAAAAGGAATCTTAATATGTGAGGCAATTGGCTTTGATCTAGAATCCAGAGGTCTAAATGTGACATCAAAGGATCAGTTTTGTCATGTAACATGGGCTGAAACATCAATGCCAAAACAGTTTGAAGGAATTGGATTAATTTCAATTGAATAGTATAAAAAACACAAATATACTTATGTCACCCAACATGGCTCATATTATATAATCACTGCAAGACTTTTTACAAAATATTAAAACTATAGAATATAGTTTCTTTCTGCAAATTCAACACGTAAACACACACACACACACACACTCTCCCCCTTCAAAACCTTCTTTCAAGCTTCAGATGTTTTTCTTCATCTCCATGTTTCATGTGTGAATCCTCAGTGTTAGCCACTATACATTTGTATTAAGCTGTAAGCCTCTTCTCTATGAAGTATGAAGTCTTTTCATTTGAACAATGTAGACATGTCCTGTTAAAATTAATCTTTTAAGTAATTCCCCAGTCACCTAATAAATTCTATGGACTCTGCCCTGGTTTTGGTCCGTGGGTTCAGCACATGTTCTATGAAGTGTTTTCCTGTGTTTATGTTTTTATTGGTGGAAACCACACTGAAGGAGAGGCCTTACTCCATGAGACAGGAAATGGCCTCAGGTTAATGTTCTGTCAGGACCTGAGTTCAAACATCTTCCAGCTTTTGAGACAACAATTTGTTCCCCGAAGAAGAAATAATTACATTTCCAACAGCAGTACATAAAAACTGAAATAAGTATATGTCAGTTACAGCACATTCAAAGTACCATGTAAGGTTTATTATATATCCATAGACACCAAAATCATGCTTATGAATCTGATAGATGTGGAGCTTTTCTTGATTCATTTTGAGTCTAACCGACCAAGAGCTAACAAACCATATAATAAACTTTCATACACCAGAATATATGTCGTTGAATATATCGCAAACAGCTTTAGTTGCTCTCAGACAGTGTGACCACAAAGGCAACTTTGACCCTTGCATCAAAACAGTGTGGCATCAAAGACAGCTGCCTGCTGATGGCAGATGCCTTTGTTGCTATCCAACAGTGTATGGCAACACAGGTTTCTGTTGACAGCGGAAGTGTCTCTAGGAGCTACCGGTGCCACGCTTTGAGCTTGTCTTTAGTACCCTAGAGAGTCGAGCAGCTTGACTACGTCAAGTTCATTCATTTAAAGTTGTTTACGAGTTTTGTTGAGTTGAGAGGAATCAACTTAACGAAGGCGAAGTCGAAGTAAAGTCACTACAAACATGGTAAATGGTCGCTGGGAGGCCGAAGTTGAGAGTTAGCTTGTGTGCTACATGAGTGGTCACTCCGCAGTGTTACTGCTCGTTTGTTGTCGCTGATGCTAAACCATGTTTTGTCACCTGGACAGAGTTACCGTGCCAATCAGTGGCCCCTGTCTCAGCGCTGCAACCAGGAGCAGCAGAGGCATGAGGACGTCCAGAGTGTGGCCAGAGACAAGCAGCACCTGGCGGTGTTGAGGGAGGAGGAGAGCTGGGAGATGAGGAGACAGGTGCGGCAGATGCAGGAGGAGCACAGGGACAGAGAGCTGAAGAGCGCTCTGCTCAAGGTGGGTTATCTGACTGCAATACACGACAGGGTCACCACAACACCCGCCAGCACTGACACGATCAACGTGTGATGAATCCATTGCTCAAATAACAGAGGAAGAACACTATGTATTCGTCCTTTGAGTCATTTTCAAACAATAATGCCCAAACATTCACCTGATCCAGCTTCTCACAGAAAAGAGTTTTTGACAGATAGCATAACAATTTGAATATGTCACCAACATATTCAACCAACCAAAAAAAATGAAATAATATTTAACATATTGAGGAATTTTGTCAGCAACATGTAGCAATCGTATGTAATGTCAATAAGCACGCAAGTGTGCTAGGATTCAAATTTGAAAAGTCTTGTTTTACATAACCCTGCTGTGTAATTAAGGTGTAAATTGTTACCTAATCAATGCAAATGGTCATAACCGAATTTTGACTTGCAGGCAAATGAGGACAGAATAAACAGGGCACAGGAACTTGAACAAGAGATGAGAATGGCTGAAGAGCTTGCTCGCATCAGCCTCGAAAAAGAACGAGATGAGAAAATGAGGCAGCACATCAGAGAGAACAGGTGAGCATGCTCACGTACTGACAGATGAAACAATTTTGCTTTCGTACATTCTTTCTCTGCTGTGTGGTAAACCCCTCTTTGGACTGTTTTCAGTTTGGAGATTCGAGAATTGGAGTCGAAACTGAAATCTGCGTATCTGAACAAAGGGAGAGCTGCACAGATTGCAGAGCAGGAGGCCATGAGGCTGGAGACCCTGGTGAGCACAGTCCCTGTTGATTTCAATTATGGAGAATTATGCTGAAATATGTTTAAGGATCCAGTTCAGGATAACAAAAGTTAAGATTCCTCTTAGTATTTAAGAATTAGAAAGTATGTGATGAAGCCTGAACACTGTATATATACTTTGTATGTCCTTTTGCTCTCACTAGCGCGAGAAGGCGGACTATTCTGGCAAAATGAAACGCGAAAGCGAGCGAGCAACTGTGGAGCAGCAGCAGTTGGAGCAGAAACGCCAAGAGGAACTGACGCAATATCAGAGAGCACTAGAGCAGCAGCTCATGGACAGGGAGCGCGGGCGACAACAGGCTTATGAGGAGTTCCTTAAAGAGAAGCTCTTGGTGGATGAGATCATCAGGAAGATTTATGAGGAGGATCAGATGTGAGTTCATTATTAGTTCTTTAACACAGTCAAAAAATATGTATTAAGGATGAGCAAGAACTTGACTGGATTTAAATTTGGAATTATTTTATTAGCCTGTTCAGTTAAAGAGAGTATATTCATGTTCAGTCGTGTTAAAATATTGAAGATCATTTAATTCACTGGTTCAGTGTGATTATGCGTTTCAAAAACAGAATCTACAAGCACCAGTTTCTCTCTATTGAAAACATAAAGACTGTGGAAGAATTATGGCTTTACTGAAAACTGTTGTTGTTTTGGTAAAGGGAGAGAGAGCTGAAACTGGAGAAGATCAGAGCCACTCAACAGCACATTGAGGAATTCAAGAGGCAGCAGGCCCAGTGGAGACGCATGGAGCAAGAGAGGATGGAGGCTGAGAACAGGCGCATCATGAAGTTTGCGAGCCAGCAGCAGAACATGGAGGAGAGCAAAATGGCCAAGATCAAAGAGACAGAGGAAGCCAAAGAGCATCTTTATCAAATAGTTGAGACGTTTTTCTTATCTATATCAGTCAATGACAAATTTCTGTATCAGGTACCAAGTGTCACTAACATCACGCCTTCCTCTTCTCTAGCTGTGTAAGAAGATTAAAGACGAGAGCAAGCAGCGTGAGGACGCAGAGCGAGTCCGTGAGGAACTTTTTTTTGAGGAACAAGAGGAAGCCAACAGGCTGCGAGAAATTGTAAGAATCATTATTGCTGTTAAACCAGAGTTTGGATAGTCCACCTTAGCCCGTCATGACCCCCACGAGTTGTGCGGAGTTCAGACAAAATATTTGATGTTGGGGTCGAGTTCGGTTACATTGTGATCAAAGAAAACATCAGGTACAGATCGGATTCAGACTCAAAAAAAACAAATGACTGGTTCGGGTCAGGCTCGGATTTGGACAGGAAATTTCGGCCCTAGCAGCACTCTTTGTCATACGTTCATGTTCAGCACAGCTCTAGGCTTTTAGCTTTTGGCTTAATAAATAAATGAGTTATCTGCTAGTGTTGTACCACTACAATGCCAAGCTGTGATCATACCAAGTTTTACTATAATTGTTCTGTTTTTACCTAAATGACCCAAAATATCTCCTCTAACAGGAAGAAATGGAGAAAAAAATCAGAGAGAGGCTGATGATGCAGCAGACCTTCCAGGAGCACCTGGCTTACAAAGAGATGAAGAAGAAAGCAGAGAAAGAGGAAGAGGAGGCCTTCAGAAAGACAATGTTGGCGAAGTTTGCAGAGGACGATCGTATAGAGCAGATGAACGCCCAGAAAAGACGCATGAAGCAACTTGTGCACAAACGCGAGGTGGAGAAAATGATAGAGGACAGGAGACTGCAGCGACAGGTTGATGTGGTACGTCCCAGGATCTCTGTTGCCATAATTATTTCAATAAGAAGGTGGTACTGATGTAGCTTCACTCAATATTTGGTTTTTGACACTTGCAGTCTTAGGGACAAAGCTTTATTAAAGCAACATATTCCCACTTCTAATGCTGAACGCCTGTCCAGCAAGTTGAACAGTAATGCTGAACTGTAGATCCGTTAGAAAGACTAAGAATCTTTCAACTTTCATCTCTAGGAGACTTTTAAGATATCTAAAATTCTGAACACAGTTTAGTGTATTTGTTTTTCTGGTTCAGAAAGGATCATGGCTAATATCAAGTTGTGTTTCATATTAGTGGGTGGGACTACACAGTCAGAGCTCTGGTCCAGACTGATCGGCTTTGTTTTATTCTTGACATGAAAACCTCGTAATCGCTCAGACACAACAGAATGTGTGGCTCCAGAGGGCGTTGTTGCCTCAGTAAAGGTTATGTAGTGTGACTTTGATGAAAGTAGGCTAACAGACGTTACCATAGGAACAGGAAGACGAGATTTATTTGAGATACACAGTGATACACATACAATGTATAATACATGGTTCATCTGCATCAACTTCAGATTGTAATGTCAGTTTTAAACAGCCTGATTTGATCATAATATGTTCATCACTCTCTTCAAGGAACTGGAGGTTAAAGAAAGGGCGATAGAGCAGGAGAGGGAGGCACTGCGGAGACAGATTGTTGAAGAAGAGAGAAAGAAACTTCTGAAACGTCACGCAGCTCAACTGCTCGGATACTTACCCAAGGTATGACACAGTGTGTGAATCATGAATCATTTTACACAGCTTCATATCTTCTGTGGGTCAAACAAGTGTCTGATCATATGTGTATCTTCATCCAGGGAATGATCCGTGAGGATGACCTGCAGTACTTTGATGAGGACTTCAGAGAAAGCTTCAAACCTCGTCAGACCGAAAACATTTCTGAAGACAGCTGGGATGATGACGCTTAAATGTTTTTCCTTTAGCCTGCCACCAGAGGGCAGCTCAAGGTTACATTGATTACTCAATCACTTTTAGTGATACTCAATGTGATCATATCATTATAAGGAAACAAAACTCCAAATCTAAACTTTATTTGTAAAACGAATTATATTCTGACTGCAAAAAGACAACTTCTAGTTAACAACACACAGAAATCTATGAATATATTTATAAATTGGTCTCGGCACCTTCAACCCAATTAACTTTGGAGGAATCTGTCAGTGATTAGAACTTCCCCCAGTCCAGAGCTTTCAGGAACTCCTCTTCCCTGAACGACAACAGCTTGGCAGCTTCAAAATGCATCTGCACACACGCAACAATAAAACTCTGTTAATTATATCAAAAACTATAAACGGGTTTTGCATTAACAGGGTATGAAAGATACACTGACCTTCTGTCTTTGGAGAATGTCAATCAGTTTGAGCTGCTTCTTGAAACCAACAACGAGTTCTGCTTTCTGCTTTTTCAGCATTTTGTTTTCAGCAAGTAGCTTTTCTTTGCTCTGATGGTCCTCGCTTATGTTGTCCTTATTAAGTAGAAGATTAAAGACTGAATTAGTACAAGTTACACAGAACCTTCATTACTTCTGCAACAAGTTAGATTTACACAACATATTGAAATTGCTTTAGATAACTTGCTGCTTAAAACTCTTTTTTGTTGAGGTTGTATACTGCTGTTCATCACAGAAGTTATTCTCTCTGTTTTCAAGGAGTCTTTTTAACTTAAGAGATGGTGGCACATTAGTTCACTTTAAAATACTGCCATTGATTTGTGTTTGTGATACTTTATGTATTTTTGATTTTTAAATCTCTTTATCATTTCACATTATTCCAATTGTAAAATGTGTTTAGTTATCAGCAACCAAAATAAGAGCCACATCTCTACTGAAGACCACGTAGGGAAAATCAACCACCTTCAAGGACCTCTTTTAAATAGAAATGAGGTGCAAAGAATGAAATCACAATGAAAACAATTTACAAAAAGATTAATATGAGCAACTGTAAATGAACTATAGTTACAGTTCAGAAACAAATAGTGTTCAAGTCAGAGAGTTTAACCACGCCACATTTGAATACCTACAGTAATTAAACCAAGATTAGCAGCAGTGTAATTTACTGTTTACCTTATTCATCTGTTTCATCTTGTTCAGCTGAGTCTTTAACCGCTCCACCTCCTCCAGAGCTCTGTTCAGACGAACCTCTGCGGTGCTGTGGACGGCTGCTGCTTGTTTGTTGGATCTGTTCAGATTTTCTATTTCCTACACAGAGCAAAGTCAGGAAGTAAACACAACGGATTAATCTCACGAGTAACTGAAGACGGTGTCAGATTTACCGGTTTCTTATTAAGTCTGCCGTCTCTCAGACTGTGTGTTTGCAGTGACACAAACCTTTTTGAAACCAGACACTTGCAGTTGAAGACCATTACATTTTTTGTCCGACTCCTCTGCTAAAGCTTTGTGCTTCTCAATCTGTGTGTGTTGAATGCTTGTAGTCTTGTGTAGTCTGGCTCGTTCCTCCTCCATCTCCTTGATTTTTGCACTGAGTTCAGCATTTTGATCATCCTGTAACAACAGAACAATAAAGTTAAATCCACTTCATTTTCTCAATAGTTTAAGTTTAAAGTCATCTCTTAGAAGCAGCAATTCAGAAACAGTAATGTAACCAGATAATGGATGGGTGTCAGGTTTAACTCTTGTAGTTGACTTATTGTTCATGTACAAATTTCACATTACCTTCCTGTAACATTCACATGAGAGTTGATCCAGTTCTTCCTGCATAATCCGTAGCTTTGCCTTGAGAACCCGAATCTGAGCATCTGAAACAGCTTAAAGAACCAGTGTGTAAGATTTAGGTGAAAGAGATCTAGTGGTAGAAATTTAATGCAGAATAATCCTCATGATGTTGAATTGTAGTTTTCTTTACCCCAGAAAAGCCCCTTTATATTTAAATACTTTATATTTACATCGAGGGGACCCTCTCTACGGAGGCCGCCATGTTTTTTACATTAGTCCAGACTGGACAAACTCTACACCTTTTGAGTTTTTATGACAATTAAAGGCTACCACAGATTATTTTTCATGTTTGGAAGGAGAGGGTGAGGTGAGGGGTGTTCAGCTGCAACATGAAACTTCAGCAGAACAATGAGCACATTTACAAAGCCATGAGAAATGATTCTCACTCAAAGTTCACACGTTCTTACAAAAAGATAAAGATTGTATTCATTTTATTGTTTGTTGCTTTTTGCATTGCATTTCAAAACTACATGACCTTTATAAGTATTTGCACTAATTGTTCTTTTATTTATAATTAATTGGAGTTTACTTACGTGAAATGACATAAAGATTTACCTGACCCAACATTGTCTCCAGTGTTAAACACATCATGGTCGTCCACAACATTGTCATGAGTGTCCATGTCCTTCATCTTCTCCTCCATGCTATGAATCGTCTTTGCTAGAAATAAATCACCTGAATCTCCAGCAGCTGCTGACTCATCTGCACGAGACAAGCTTCTGAAATCGAGCAACAAGAAAACGTGAAGTCCAGAATATTAATGTCAAAGATATTTCTTTAAAGTTGTCAGCTACACATTGTTTCCTAATGAACAAAATAGTTTGAACAAAATAGTTGGCAATATATTTGGAAATTGAATAAAATCCAACTTACGCTGTTTTAGAGTGAGACTCTTTTCCTTTTGTTCCGGTACGCGTGATGTGTGATGTTGATGTTGGTCTTTTTTTGGTCACCACCTCCACAAATAAGGAGCAAATAGGAACAGCATAAAATACTATACATTATTAGTATTAGTAATTGTAAACTAGTGTCAGTCGAGTAAAATGCCTTCAGGTTTTAGAAAAACAGAAACCAAGACAAAATATTCTGACGCATTACCTTCAGAACAGGCTCCACCGTGCATTGTTGAGACTTTATTATTCTGTGGGTGAACAGATAAATATACAGAAAGACAAGGAGGAGATAAGTTATTTGAATAAGTTACTATTTTTACACTGCATTCATTTAAAAGTATATCTCAATTTGGAGGCCAGTGTGTTTCACTGGAATGAATTAAAACTTTTGAAGAGGTCACTGAGAAAATGTGCCTCTAAAAAGTCTACAACCATGCTTGTGGTTCTGAGCCTGAGACATTTTTTACCTTGAGTCCTCTTCGTCTTCAATGTCCGTAAGCAGGAGGGTGGATAACGGCTTTGACAGAACTTCACTCTGTTCTCTCTAAAATAATAAACCCCATGAAGCAGTTATACAGCAAGTTAGAGCTTCACCTTCGCCTTTCCCTGTATCACAGTACCACTGTTCTGACAGATTCAATTAAGTGATGCAAACGGATGAATAACTTACCATGAGCTGATCTGCCTGCCTCACTAGTTCTGCTGTTTTGGCCTCTAGCTCCGCATTTAACAGTCTGAGGAAGATAAAATGATAGATAAACATTATTTTTATGAATATTTGTTTCATGAAAATGGAATTTAGTGTTGTGGCTCTGTAAGAACAGAATTCAACCTCCATATTTTGTTGAAAACCCACCCTTTAGTTGTTGAAGGAGAAAAGTAACGGTATTGTGTTTACCTGAACAGTGTGATTTAGTAGGTGTACGTGTTTAATATGTTTAGATGTGGTATTGAGAAACATTTATTGAAGTTTTCTCACAATTTCTAACTCACATTTCTCTGTACTTTGCAAAACTCTTCACACAGTTCTTGCAGCTCAGCACAACTGTTAGGGGTTAGGGTTACACTTCATCCCACATTTAAATATCAACTCTTGTTTGGCATTATAATATCTAACACCATTATTTTTGAAGCAACTAATGTTTACTTTATTTATTCAACATGAACCATTTAATGTAAATTAAACAGTTTTTACCATTGTATGTTAACTTGTGTACATAATTCATATTTTTGGTGGCAGTTGGTTATCATTAAGTAACAGTTCAGTCCATGTTTAGAGCTCTCGTGTCTTGTATGACCATTAAATGTGAGTCTACAGTACATGTGAATAGTTTTTCTCTAAGTTTGATGAAGTAATGTACTCAATGTGAAGGAGTACAACCAGTGTAGAAGACAAATAATGCCACAAATCCACACTTATTCTGTCTTTATTGATATTTACATGATCTCACTAAAATTTGTGTAAGTGTAAATAAATCGAAAGGAGTCATCTGATGATCTTGTACATAATATATTTCAAAATGAATCAAAACCAAGCCAGCAGAAAGTCTTACTTGTATTTTTCTTCCCGAGCAGACAGGTCGTCTGTGTGCTTCTGTTTGGGACCAGAGACTGATTTGACCTGTGGTCTTACTTCAGCTCTCTTCGAACTCTCAGTGGTCGAGGTGGAGGATGGACGTTTCTTTTTCTTAACAACACAACAACACAGAGCAGTATATTTCATTACAACGATCCACCTAAACTTACATTTTTACAACAAGACTGGATTTAAACTGTCATATTTCACCTCGATTTTTCCTGAAGCTTTAATGCAACAGAAACAACAGAGTGGATATATTCCATCCATGAAGGATATCACCTAACACATCAAGTGTATGGTTTCCTTCAGCCATATTTCACTTGTATTAGCTGTATGTGCCCACTTATGTTTGGATCTGATGTTTGTTGCGTTACTTGTTGTTTGAACATGTGTTTGTGGATGAAACCTCAACCACATGTAAGTGTCCTCTCCATCTTTATAAACACCTTGCTAGAATAATTCACGATAAAACGTGAGTTCAACACAGTGTCCATGCTAAGGGACGGTGAGCAGCCACAGTGTTTGGGGATCGTTCGCTCTGAGAATCTTAATCTGATAAAAACAAGTGATCCGGTTTCAACTTTTGCTGAAAGAATAAAAAGCACATATAACCCAGATAAAGATGAAAACTAACCTGTGAAACGACGGACTGAGCCGTTTGAGTCAAACTTCTTTCAGCCATCGAGACGCAGAGAGGGAAGCAAACGCAGCACCGGTTGCCTGGCAACCACTCTGCACTACGGTGGCCCGTAAAACACATTTTCGGTTGATGTCGTTTTTTCATACATTATCATAAAAAGTGAAAGTTGAGTGTTTGATAGATTATCTTAATAAAACAAGACGCCACGGATCGTTGTTTGCTTATAAATTAAGATTTTACAAAAAGATGCTTTGAACATACAAGTTGATATAAAACATTTTAATGTCATTGATTTTTCAATCGATAAAAAATTTACTTGAGCTGTTTCATTATTATTTGAATCCTAAAGTACTGTCGGCCAATTTTATCAAGCAACATTTCTCCATGTTTCCAACTTCTCAAGTGAGAAGGTATGCTGCATTCCTTGTAATTATTCTGATCATTGATTTTTACATTATAGTTATTGGAATTACAAAATAATTGGTGGACAAAGCAAAACATTGCAAAGTGTCCCTGCTGATGGGTATGTTGGGATGTTTCTATTCACTGTTTACAAGATGAGTCAAAGAACATAACCAACAGATTTAGGCTCATCTATAATAAAATAATAATTAGCTAAAGCTATAAACTAATTATAAATGACCTCTATACCCCAACAAGCTGCAGCAGTCAAATGCTGTTTACATCTGAATGCATCAGTAGTAGTAATCTATTAAATGATTAATAATAGTAACACAGAGACAAACAGAGTGGTAATTTATCCACCTTTACTTTTGACTACTTTTAAGTAAGCGTCACTTCCCTGATTATAGTGTGGTATGAGTACTTTTACTCTATTAAGGCAACACTGATTTACATACAGCACAAAATTGTACTTGAGTGCAGCACTCGAATAAATGTACTTAGTTACTTTCTACCGCCGAGTAACATTATGACATTTATTTTTGCTTCATTACTGGGCTGAACTGGCAGCATGTACATCTATAGTAATAATACCACCCATAAATGAATGCATGCTCATAATAGCATGCTCAGTAATGTCCCCTGCTTACATGTTTACATGTTTTTATGAGGGGGGCTGTCAGTGCGCATGCGCCTGCCCCGCAGCTTCTACTCACTATGCACATGCAGAGAAATCCCATAACGTGAGGGGCAGCGCACCGGAGGGACGAGCCAGTAGTTCTGCACCTGCCCTGTGTCTGTTTACACCTTTATTCATATCCATGCATCAGCTCGGGCCTGACTGCGGCCCGTAGCTTCGTTGCACCGGCTCTTTAATTCACCAAGTGTCGTGGACCCGGAGGGAGTGATGTCGGAGGAGGAGGGCCGGCTGGCAATAACAACAACACGGCGCGGTGCTGCTGCTGCTGCTGTCCCGTTAGCATCACAGCGTCCTTCGGTCCATGTCGTTTAACCGTGCCGGGCCGATACACTCGTCCACGCCTCCAGTCCAGACCCGTCCTGTCCCGTCCAGACGCCCGCCCTGATGGCCGAGGCGGACCCCCAGCAGCAGCAGGCGGACCGCGGGGCGGGGAGCCTGCCCGGCCTGCTCCTCCCCGGGCTGCAGGGCGCCGAGGCCAGTGCTCTGCAGCTCAGGATCAAGAACTCCATCTGGTGAGGACGTGTTCATACATATACCACTGTGCACGGTTTGATCAGACAGCGGGGTAATGAATCAGTGCCACATGCCAAACTGAATCCCAATAGACAGACTCATCGTCTCTCAAGCGGCTTCATGCTGCACAGATTGTTAAACCACGTGGGGACATGTTGTGATTTTGGGCTGTTTGACTTGATTTCATTCTCGTGTTGTTATCGTTATGATTATTATTTAGTTTTTGCTTTATTGGATACTGTGGGTATCAACAAAGCTTCATACCGTACAAGCTGAATATGTATAAGTTCATTTATATAAGTAACTCCAGCAGCCAGGTGAATTCAGTTGAGTAAAGATGACAATATAACCTCAGATTATATGTCAGAAAATTGAAATACTCAATTCAATTACAAGCACGTCAAAAAGTACTAAAGTACAGTACTTGAATAAATGTGCAGTTACTGTGTGTACAGGAGTAAATTTAAGAGTATAGCTGCATAAGTTCACCCTCCTCTTCACCTCACACCTGCCTCCATATGAATTGCTTATGCATTGAGTTTTTAAATGCATCATCACAGTAATGATCATCTACTTTCTGTCTGACGGTTTTATTTACTGTGTTCCATCTATTTCGATCATCAACCATGACTGACACTTCAAAACCAACTAACTGATGTCAAGTCAGTTTGTAATTTAGTGAACAAAGGCCAAATAGTCCCCTTACTATCAAGCTGCACCAAATGTCACACACCTATAGATGTCAGGCTTCTAAACAAGCCTGATTGTTTTCATCAAGATCCCTGAATTGTTCTCTGAGAAATCAGTGAAGAACTTCTTATCTCCCAATGACAAATCATTAATATGGAATGGGTTCTTCCCTGACCCATACAGCATCCTTCCACCAAGTTTTATGGTAATCTGTCCTTTAATTTTTGTGTAATCTTGCTCAAAATGAAACAAACAAAAATACATTCTATCAGTTTGCACAATTGGGTGCAGATGGATTTGATAAGAGCTCGAGAGACGTGTAGGCTTGTGTGTCCTCGGCATAGCAATATACACTCTCATGCCATTCCAGTTTAAATATCAAATAGTCATAAAATGTCAAAAGGCCAAATAACCAGAAAGCACAACAGTCCAGAGTTGAAACGTCTGCCCCAAATACCCCAACAGAAACCTTTTTCAACGCCACATTGTCTATAACATATTGAGATATTGAGGAGCTGTCTCTTTCCCTCCATCTTTAACCTTTAAGAGGATTAGAGCATAAATATTGGCGTTCACCTCAGCGACCTGCCGCTGAGTGGTTTATGGTAGAATGAGAATGTCCCGGGGTCAGCAAGTTCATTCATTTATAATTACACTGTCCCCCTGTTTTCATTTGAAATAATGGTGTATAATTAAGTGCTACTGCATAGTTATGCTGTTCCTGCTGGATTTCATTTAGACCTACTGTGCACCTGGGTATTATGGATATTATACACAGTGGGAGTGAAAGGATCTCTTGTAGTTATTTCCTTTCTTTGCTAATCTAAGTCCCTGTGAAAAACCGTCGGGTGTGTTTCAGTGCACTTGACAAATCTGCCTCACAAACAGCTTAATGGCAGCCTTTCAGCACCGGGCCCCCTGGTAACAGTGAATTAAAGTGAACTGTTCTTGTCATGGCTTAGAGTCATCTCCTGATTCTTACCTGCCCGGTGTCTTTAAGTGTGACCTACCTTCTGTCTCACAGTCGACCAGTCAACAACCTGACCCGTCTGCAGATTAGGAATTAGTCCTGGAGAAGTTATACATGTGTCTACTTCGACTCTTTGTCGTGTTGCACAGCTCTGAATCCACAAAGACTCATATAATGCTTGTTTGAGCTGAACTACTTTTGTTTTTCTTACTGTCAAAATACTGATTAAGTAAAGATCAGATAATTTACTTTTCCTTTTGCCTTTATTTATGTACTTTATTTACTCATTTCTATTTATTGTGGAATATATAGAGTAGGAATGAGTCTATGGATAATATCAGGATTCACAATGAAACATTTGATATCAATTTATATGTGTATATATGATTATGATATATGATTTTGTTTTTCTTGCTTTTCTTGGAATATTTTTTAACATATTATTGAGAAAACATGAATACAATTTCCATTCACAGTAATTTTGTAATATTATTCATTTGAGATAATCTATGGTGGAGCAACTGAAAATGAATGACTGAGTGATAAAAAAATCCTTCTGTCTGAGACAATGTTACCGCAGCACTCGTCTCCCTCTTTTTACATATGACAACATGTGTTCCCAATGGTGGATACATGACCTGAGAGATGCTGAAGGGAGGGTCGTCTCATACCAAACATTCCTTTGCTTTATAAATAAATACACTTTAGGCACAAGGGCTCATGTTACACCAGCTTCATACTAATTCATACTATGTCTGTATTTTGCAGCAAATCTGTTCAATCAAAAGTGGAAAACATTCTGGTGAGTATTTCTGACACGTTATTGATCTATGGATTGCATTTTTAATCAACCTTGATAAATCTAATCTGTTACGAGTAATAATGGTCAGGTTATTTGATTTTGTTGGTAATTCATTAGTGGTTATCATGTGTAGAGCTGAAATCGTATTGTTTTCTGATGTGTTGAAATATTTTCTTGCGTTATAAAAAAATTACAGCAAATGTGTTCACATCAGCTTTTAAGATCGACCTATAGAGGTCGCATCTGAGCGTAAACTGCACTGGGTCACATGGTTGTTGGAAGCGATGTCTCGGGACTCAATAAGGTCAATTATTAGTCTTTGTATTTAGATTTTTTAAATCATAGAGGTCATATCTGCAAAAATATCCACTAGCTTAGAGAAGTAATTGTTGTGTGTGAATAGAGCTCAATGTGAAGTGTGGGTGACGTGACCAGTGAGTTCACCGATGTGCATGAAAAAAACTTTGAATGGTGACAACAAGTGATTAAACTGTGTGAGCCAACTCATTAGATGGTCAAGTATGCCTGTAGTAGACCAGTGTCATGTTTGTCACCTCTATAAACAGAGTATGATTTGTAAATTTGACCCCCTATAGGTCAAAGGTAACATTGCAAAAGAAACATTTGTATAAATTTTAGTCAAGAGCCCCTTTAGCAAACCTAAGCGATCACAGTGTTTGTTAAAACCAACAAGAGGAAAATGTTGGACAGAAGAACAGCAGATATCGTAGAATACCATTGCTATTACCAGTACTTGTCTCAAAGTGATTTTAAGTCCTTTAATTACTTGTTTTAATAAAACATTATTTAAAAACCAAAATATATTTCAGTTATTATCATATATGGAAAAAACAACATATATTTAAAAACAAACTGTGACCAGGAAAGGTTTGGTATTTCTATGGTTTATTGGTATGTCTAATAATAATAATAATTATCTAAATCATTGGTGATTGATTTTCTTTCACTGTATTTGCCAGCACAGTTGGACCTCCCTTTGTTGTTCAACGACAATATTATAATTAATTTTTAGAATATAATGTGTGCAGCTCCAGAGAATGAGACAGTCTGTACTGGTTAAAGTCTCATCAGAGCTGTAGCTTACATCTTGAATCTTATATATATGAATATAATTTCTTTGCTAGAATTATGATGAATTAAAATCAGTAAGTGTAGTGGAAATCAGTTGTAGATTGCATCTAACTTAAAAGAGTAATGGTATCATGTTTCAGATTTAAATAAATCAAACCTTTTAACCAAACCAAGGCTTATGGACATAAGCTGGGCCTTCTGTTGTCCTTATGTAGCTTAATATTTATATACATATATATCTAATGAATGATGTCATGTTGTTGTTAATATAGACTAGGTTATCTAGTCTTATCATGGTCATGCCTTTTAAAAAAAGAAAGTAAAAAAAGTTGTAACCTTGCACCCAGTGCTGTCTCCTATCATTCACCACTGCTGCTGATTCTCAGACAGGCTTCATTAGAATATATGTTATCCCATAATTATGAAATAAGGACTTCAAGGGCTGGGCAATAAAACATTATCAATAACTGTCACAATATAATAACAATTTAACAGAAGTCTTTAAACTTAAAATAAATAATAATTGATCGTGGGTATTATAGCTATCGACCGAGTAGCAAAAAATTGTAAACTACAATAAAAGGCAAATCTGAACTTTGAGTTTGAACCAGTGTTGTCTTACCAACAAAACCTCAAACTGTTGGAAAACAGCATAACATTTACACTTACAAAAATGTTTCCTGATACATTGCATTTAATTGATATTTGCCGAGTAATGTTTGCCAATTAGAAAGAGTTTGTGTTCTGATCAGATGCACAACAAGCCTGGCAGACATAAGATAATGGAGCCGACATGTCATTACTGTTACATCCAGGAACTGGTTAGGACCCAAATACAGTAATACTTGAGGACAGATTAAACGAACATCAGTCAGTAGTCAAAATGTAAAGGCAAAGTAAAAAACAAAACGACAACTTGGTCATTAATACCTATGAAGAAATACTGGGAAAGACTGACACATAGACCAGGAACCTGACAAGACAAACTATGAGGTTGGGAAAACACAACAAGAAGTCCAACAAAAGATCCACAAAGAAATCTAACCATCCACAAAAAGTTCCAAAAACATCAGAAATCTAAAAAGGGTCCTCTAAGGGTCTAAATACGAATCACAAGTCGTTCAAAACTTTAACACAAGGCAGAATCAGGTTATATGGATTGACCCTGAGAAAATAAATATGTGCATTTAGTTTTGTTAAACATCTTAGACTGTTGAAAAACTGTAGTAATGTTCTTTTAATATGAATACATATTTCAGTCACATGTGGACTGTCTTGGTAGAAGTTAAGTACAATCAGTTGAGTGTTTAATAAAAAAACGATTTTTGGTATCCCTTAAAACTTTCATCAAAGAATTGTGACCAAGATGTGTAATTAGAGGGAGGCTGGAAAATGAAGCCATCAGTGGACGTGTGGCACTCGTACCTCGGCCTTTTTCCCAGCTGACATTTTGACATGTGACAGTCGGCAAACCACAGGTGTAAATGATGAACCGAATGGTGGCTGGATTCCATTCAGCTGCTTCAGTTTCAGGCCGCGCTGAATCACTGTCGCACTGTCATGAATGACTTGTATTGAGCAGAGCGGATGTTAAGGTTGTCATGAGCAGCTGTGCTTTTCCTACTGTCACATGTCAAAATGTCTGCTGCTGTGAAAAAGGCCTCAGGCATATTGTGGGAATTTCCCGACTTCTGTTTCCTGTTACTTATTAATCAACATACGTCCCATCAGCATATCTGTGAGAAGCTGAAACTGGCTCATTGTATCTTAAATGCAGATATATCAGTCTATACCACTAGTTCTGAAGGAACATCTGAGCTACAACGAGGGAACAGATTATCACATCTGTCGTCACTTTAATGTCAAGAGTTGCTGTCTGCAAACATTTCCTTTCAAGGTAAAATGAGTCGAAGGGGGAATAGAGTTCACCGTGCAGGACCGATGACACGGTAACATTACAGTGACAGTCCAAGTCATCAGAGCAGGAAGTGAGTCGCTCTGAAAAGGCCAAGGATGTCCTGTGAATGATGCACAAAAAGGATTCAGTCCAGTTTTAATATGACTCGGGCTCATTTATGAGATGTATGTGTATTTTACTTGTATTGCTCAGTGTCAGTGACCTGTGCTTCCCTCGTCAAAGATGTTAATGAGAACAGATGAGCAGGATAAAGTTTATTCTGAGAGGCCATTGAAAGGGGTGGACATGTCCTAGTGAAGGAATGTGTTGGCAGTGTGTGTGCATGTGTGCGTCTGTGCCTTCGCCGTGCAGCGAGCCATCCTGAGAGAAGGGCGGGCGGGTGGCAGGAGTTTCGATTTCACCTGACGGGCTCTGCAGAAGTCCGTCTGTCTCTGTATGTCTGTCTGCAGCTGTTTGTGCTCAATGTGTGCACATGTTTGTGTGTCTCAGTCTGTGCAGCTGTATGAATGCAGTATGAAAGTAAAACTCCTCAGTCCTTGACCCACTGCTTCACTGTGGGCAAGATGTTTCTGATTAAGTGCAGAGTTTGACTTATATAATGCCCACAAAGCAACGTCCTTGTCTCATCCAACCATCCCACCTTCTTCCAGCTGAGTCTTCTACGTGCTTTCTTTCAAACTATAGCTGAGATGACATGAGAGTCTTTTGTCTCTGTCTGTCCAATCTCAGCCTTCAAACTTTATTTATTCATTCTTATTTGTTCTTACTTAATTATGCAAATATTAGAAACAGGTGTCAATGCGTTGTTAAAACATTCTAAACACATAAATACAGCACATTTAGTTTACAGCGTCCATGCCTTCTTCTTCCACATTCTGACATGAAAGCACATGAACACATCAAAGTAGGAAAAACAACTTCAGGAAATGGGACCCGTGAATGTAAGAGTACCCCACCTATAACATTGTCATCTTTCTGGTTCCTTGTCAAAACCTGGTGCCCTCATTACCCACAATGCAACTTGAATGCTAACAGTTCAGTTGAAGATTTGGGGATGTTATGTTATAGTATAGGCTGCAGTCGGCCTGCAGTACAGCTGAAGACCAGATCTCATAAGATCACTTCTTTCTAACTCCAAACCCACAGATAGTTTTCATGGTCAAACTTTATCAGATTATCAAACTGTAATCCTAGGATGTTCCTTGGATTACAGGCCTTCACTTTCACTGTCTTGCATCATCCTTGCACTTGCCTTCAGAGGTTTTGCCACAACACTGAAACACAAAAGCTCAGACCTCCAGATACAGATGCACTCATACTATACACTCAATGAAAACAGATCTCTACTCAACTTTGGGATTTGTCTGCTGATCCTTGTGGAAATGGCACTTTAAATCTTCTTTGAGTCAATGCTGTAAAACAATAACATACTAAAACATTTAATGGGCACTATATTCACTGGGTTAGCTCACGCGGGTTAGGGCTCAGAAACACATACCATATGCTTTGTTAAGGTTGATAAAAAGTTTGTGGAGGTAAGGCTGATTTGCAGCAAGACTTCTCCGCAGATCAGCATCTAGAACCCCAGCATAGGACGAGAATGGTTCAGATCTCACAGGTTTTAATAGGAAAGATGTTTCTGTACCAAAATGTATTGACTTCTTCCTTGGGTCATGCCCCACCCCTCCACAAAATTGAATGGAAATCGGTTGAGTAGTAACTGTGTCATCCTGCTAACAAACAAACAAACAAACAAACAAACAAACCTTCTTGGCTGAGATAACTGTCCAATAATCACTCTAACTGTTGTGTGTGTTCTTCAGGTAAAACTACAGCAGAAAATAACTTTGGGCTGATGGAAGAAACATTAAAACTGTCTTATTTTTGCTTTTTCACAGCAAGATGTCGAGAAGTTCTCAGACATTGAAAAACTCTACCTCTACCTTAAGTTGCCTTCTGGTCCGAGCAGCAGCACTGATAAAAGGTAAAGCTTCACCTGCTCTCTTAAAGGATTTATAGATAAATGGACTGTGCAATGTTTTTGAAACAAGAAAACACTTCATCATTAATTCTGGCACACAGTTTTTATTCTCTATATGATGTGAATAATATAGAACGGCACAATTGTTCATCAGTGATTCACATCTTTCCTCAGTGACCAGTGCGCCCTGTCATCAAGCCGCACTCAGCAGATGCATGCGTTCAACTGGATCCGCAATCACTTAGAGGAATACCCAGAAACATCTCTCCCCAAACAAGAAGTCTATGATGAATACAAGTAGGTTTTTCTTTTCTTTCATACACATATTTACAATGAATCCCTTCTTTTGACACTTCCATAATTAACCCATTTCAGGCTAGACTCAAAGTTTCCCATTAAAATAAAAAGCACAGTGAGGCTGAAAGGATGGGTTTATTTACTTAATACTCAAATTTAATATGAATAATTGATTTCGTTCCTCATCTGTGATGTTTCATCTCACAGCTCCTCATGGTCAAGTCTCTTTCTCCACTAAATCGCTGCCGGCTAAAGCATCAATATAAATAGACGCTGCAGGCATGAGAATCACAGCAGCATGTGCTGGTAATATTAGAATGGAAAGTCTGAGACAGTCATTGAAATGCTCTGACAGTGTTATGTAACTGTCTTTTTAACTCCACCAGAACAGAAATACAGTGGCCTCCAGAAATATTGGCGCCTTTAGGATTGACAGGTGAAAAGGCTTCAGAGAAACATAATGTGCTGCACTTGAAAACAATAAGAACAGTTTCTTTTGAATGAACTAACCACATTAGTCTATACGATCATTTTCAAGATTCATGACACCACCTAACTTTTTTTTAAGAGGGTTTTTTTTCAAAGTAAATTAGAAGAATTTGTATCATAAGAACTCAGAAGCTTATAGATTACAAAGACTCCAGTCTATACATACATCATCTTTATACATTCATTTATGTTTATCTATATAATAACATAATAATGTGTCTGGTGCTGAGGGCACATTGGGTTTCTGGAGCTTTTTACTGATGAGAGAAGTGAGAGTGAAAACAAACAATGAGTAAAAGATGCTAAAACAGAATGATGTGCCAAGGAGACCTGCAGATGCAGGAGATCATTCTCTGAATGTTCATTTCATTTTATCCCTTGTTAAGAATAAAATAATAAAATAGAAGAAGTGATTTCTGGGGGGAAAAAATTACAGTTTCATCTGGGTGAAATTAATATAGTTTAAAAATGTGGTAACTGATCGGTAAATAGATTCACGTACTCACAGATGCCCGATCCAGCATTTTGAGCAGTATCAGAGCTGTATGGTTGCTGTATGGTTTTGGGAACATCTGTACTTGTACCATGACTTTGATTTATAATACAAGGTATTTTTGCTGTGGTTTGGTTGAACACTGACATCTTTTACTTTGTTCTCTGCGTGTTCTTCTTCACCTTCATTCTGCCTGCCTTGTGTTTCAGGAGCTTCTGTGACAATCTCAATTACCACCCGCTGAGCGCTGCGGACTTTGGCAAAATGATGAAAAATGTCTTCCCAAACATGAAGGCGCGTCGACTTGGCATGAGAGGAAAATCAAAATATCCTTTGCTGGAATGGATTGTCCCAGTCTGGCCTCTGTCTCTGGTCACAGACCATCTGCTGTTGCAGTTCAGTTCATAAGCCCCTCTCTAAATATAGATGTGAAATGGAATAAAGTCCCCTCTCTGCCTCAGAAGCACAAGCATAATACAGAGACGCACAGGGAGTCACTGTGATCTTGACCTTCATGACTCATTCATGATTTATTTATTTTGCCTGATTCAGTGTCAAACTTTACTTTTATGACCTTTAATCTATCAGAACTGCTTGATTATTATATGATAATTTTCACAAGTGTTACATATACCAATCATTTACGATATTATCCTGTATATTGGTAGCATATCTAAATGTTCTGGAATCACATGTTTTTCATCTTAACACCAGTTCACATATTGCTATAGTGGATTGAGGAAGAGACCCTTTGTTCACATGCCATCGTTACCCACTCTGGATCTCCATAAAACACCAGAAGGAGTAAGAACATTTACATCCTTCCTATTAATATTTAAGAATCATCTTAAGTTTCTTTGTAAATAACATCTTATCTAATGTGTGTAGCTGCAGTGTGATATCCTGGAGTCACCAGGTCAGCTCAGCAGCATCAAGGAGGAGGTGCGGTTTGCAGCCTGTGACCTGGTGTGTGAGTGGGCCCAGAAGGTGCTGAAACGCCAGTTTGATGCCGTGGAGGATCTGGCTCGCTTCCTCATCGACAGCCACTACATCAGCAACAAGTCTCTGGCAGCTCTCACCATTGTGACGGGCACAGCCACAGGTAACACTCAGGTTCTCCTGCTGGCCTCAGGTTCTGCGTGTTAAAACTGTAGTTGGTAATGACATCTAGTGGCAACTGTCTGTCACTGCAGTTACTGACTTCAAATGTTGATTCAGGCTTCTTGTGAACAACCTTTGCAGGGAAGTTCCATACCATCAAAAATCAAGTACTTAAATAAGTAATAACACATACAATTTTATACTCATATTCATATTGTATACCATACCTGCCTGTACACTTATAACAGTCTATATCTCCTTATTTGATTAAATTGGATATACTTTATTCATCCCACAACGGGGAAATTTACTTATTACAGCAGCAGAAAGAAAGTGTAGTATTCACTACAGAAATTAAAGTTGAAAAGGCAAAAAAACAAAAAACAGACAGAAATATCTGTAACCTACACAATAAACAAGAAAACAATCAACCTGCAAACAGACAATGTGCAAAAAAGTACTGAGGATAAAAAAGTGGCATGATATAAATAATACACAATCACAATAATGTGATATAGATATGATTGTTTAAAATAAATATACAATAATGGAATAAGAGTACTTGTTGCAAAGACGAAATACAAAAAATCTAATGAACAGTGAAGTGCCAGAAAAAACTTGCAGAGGTTACTTAGTTTCAACTTAACTTAACTATCCAAGAGATGGAACTTAAAACTAACTTAAAATGAGTTAACCAACAGAAGAGACTCAAAAAATGCAAAT